GGAAGCCTGCTTCTCCCTCTCCCACTCCCCCTGCTTGTGTTCGCTCTCTCGCTGTGTCTCTCTCTGTCAAATAAATAAATAAAATCTTTAAAAAAAAAACTAAAATAAAATGTCTGGATCTTCTTTTATTATCTGACCACAAGCCCACTGTAAAACTATATCTGTATTCCATTGTCAATACCAGTTATAAATTCTCTGTGCTGTATGGGCTTAGATTTCTAAAACTGGAAAAACTTTAAAGCTTATCGCAAACTCCTCATTTTTATAGATAAGGAAACAGAATCCAGAAAGATTATAGGACTCACTCAAGGTCATTTAGCTAGTTAACAGTTAGAGGTTGTGTGTGTGTGTGTGTGTGTGTGTTTTGAAGAAATCCAACCTTATTTTCTTTATTTATAAATCAGCTTTGGGTTGAACTAAGACCAGGTTCCTACTCGCAGATTTCAATGAGCCACTCAACCATTTTTCCTGGAAATAAAGCAAAGACATCTTCTGGGAGTTGAATTGTGTCCCTCAAGAACTCATGGGTTGAATTCCCAACTCCCAGTGCCCCTGAACGTGGCCTGCTTTGGAAGTGGGGTCATAGCAGGTGTAATTAGTCAAGCTGAGATGCAGTGGAACGGCCGTAAGCTGGACTCCTCATGCGGTATGACCGGTGTCCTCAGCAAACGGGGACATTTGGACACATCAACGCACTCAGGGAGAAGGCTGTGTGAAGGTGAAGGCAGAGGTCCCGTTGACAAGCCAAGGAAAAGCAAAGATTTCTTGCAGACCGCCAGAAGCTGAGCGAGAGGCCTGGGACAGATCCCTCCCTCCCGGCCTCAGGAGGAGCCCGCCCCGCGTCTGTGTGTCTCCTCTTGATGTTGGACTTCCAGCCTCCGTAACCGTGAGACAGGAAGTGTCTGTTGCTCGAGGGCCCTGCTTTGCTGTACTTTGTTTGCAGCTCAGTACACTAATACTGTACCCACGGCTGCTGGTTTTCGCATGAGTTAGGGAGTCCAGAAATAATGTGACTGTTCCTTCGCAAAACGTGTAAGAGCCTCACTGAGCCCACAAATACCTAATGTTAATACGAAAGCAATCTCTGGCTGTGGATCCGAGAACCACAAATTGCCTACAGACTACAGAAGTTTCCTAAAATCCAATGTAATATCAGCCTGTGGGGCTTCTAGAGACCTCCGATTGCCTCGCCTGCCCAACCACAGGGTGTTAGGGACAAACTGTGCTTCCCCATATAACATTGTCGGGGGAAGCTAGGGACTGGATTTAAGCATCCTGGCTAATTCTTTGTTATTTTTAGGGTTTCTCATATGCTAACTTGATTTTTATGTTAGTACAGTGCATGACAATGACTTTAAATTTTGTTCCCTTTCTTTCTTCAGAGCCATTCCCTTGTATTACAAGAAGAGCCACAGTCCTGTTCGATTTAAAATCCTTCTCTTCTCGAGTGTCATTTCCTTTTGCATGCCCCCAGCATGTCACTGCATCATCGTGTGCAGTGACAAATGGAAGGCGATGAGAGGTGGACAGCAAGGGGGCCGTGAATCTCCTTTTTGGTCCCCTCGCACCTGAACGGAGGACAGCAGAGAACCCTTCTCTCCCCAAAAGTACGGCCAGGAGGTGACCCTAGGGGAGCCCGATGCGGGGCTCATACGGCCAAATCTCGCTTGTGAGGACTCAACACGAAAGTACAAACTCTCAGCACACAAGCCAGTATGGTCTAACCTTTCGGAGGCTTTGTCCTATTAAAGACTATTCACCTGAGTTGGCAGGTAAAATTATGGCTGGGAGGTGAAAATACGGAGGGCAGCAATGCAAGAATTAGTGCACGGTTAAAATTAGATTTGTCGATCAAGCAGGGAAACCCTTGCCCGCTGGGGCTGCTCAGGACGCTCTCCCAGGTCCCTGGCCAAGGACGCCGCCGCCACAAAGGAGAGGACTTTTGGCACATTTCAGAGAGGGTCCTTCCAGCATCTACCTCCACGGTCTGCCCTGGCACTAGCTCAGGAAGGGGTGCATTCGGGGCAAGCGTTGCCTTGAAAGGCCCCCCCCGCCCCGGGCTGATTTCCTCACCTTTGGGTTTTCTTTTTTGTTTTGTTTTGTTTCTTGTTTTTTGTTTTGTTTTGTTTTCCTGTTTGGCTCTGAAAAGGACTCTGTTTATCAGCCCACCTCAGGTTGGGGCCCCTGGAATGCTTTTGCTTTTCAGAAAGCAAGGAAATTACCAAGAATTATAAAAAGGCAAGTCAGAACCATGGCATTTAGAGAACAACCGTATGACTCTGCCTCGCGCCTGGCCTTTGGAGAGGGGAAAACAACTGAAGCAGTGACACTGAATTCTGAGCCGCTTTGCATGACTCATTAAACTGCCATTTTGAACTCTTTTGCCTCGTGCTGCAAGAATGATAGAATCCTAGAACAATCTATACGTTTAAGTTCTTTTATATCGGAAAAGCCTTGCGGTACAGGGGCCTTCAGACGTGAGCACAAACATCAATTGAAATACAAGACAGTCATAATAGACCTAAATTTGATAAGGCACTCGAGTGTGACCCAGGCAGCCCGGCCTCTTAAATCAGGACGCACAACTAATTGCTACTCTTTTATTTATTATCTTTAATCCCTCATTGGATACAGTTGACTTGCTACTTCCTGGGATGAGGCCACAAAATGGGGGAGGGGGAGAATGAATAATTTTAAAATTACGAAGCGATTTCTTTGTTACAAACCTGGGCTGACAATGTCAATTCCAGCCATGTCCTTTCCCCAGCACAGCGCCCTCTGAACTTGGGAAGGGCATTCATTTTTCCTTCCTGCTCCCTCCGGTGGGCAGAAAGTCAGGCGAGTCCAGTCCTTGGAAGCCACTGGTGTCTTTCTTGCCCTCGCCAAGGAATTAGCCTTATTTCCCGGCATCTCCTTCTGGACACCCCAAAGGCTCATCAACGACCTATATCATATTGAAAATAGTAAACCTCTTTCCTGGGTGAACCTGCCCTTTCTACCTCCCTCTTCCACCCCACCTCCAACTGGGTTTATTCATTCCTGGTAATTTGATCAAGGTCTGCTCCTCTCAGGAAATAAGGATTTTGCACTTTGAACATCATTGATTTTGAGCTGAGTTAGCCTAATGCATCACCAGGATTTGATTTCAGAGGCATCAGGAAATCTTTTTCCCTCCTGCTTATTTAACAGCATCCTCCTTTGTCTTGATGGTGTCTAAAATTCTACTGTTAGGGATGTCATCCTTTGTCTCTGTTCCCTGGTAAAACATATATTTTCACGGGAAGCATGATGCTTTAAGAATTAACAGTCTTTTACGGTTGAGCCTGATTAAGTTCATAGACCCCTATCTTGAGAGGAAGCCGAGTAAGGGAGAAAGGAGGGAAGTGAAAAGGCAGGACAGCTGTGGTGGGGGAAGAGCCACACACAGTGGGGAAACCAAGAGAGCAGACAAACAACCCTTAGCCCTCCGCTTTGAGCAGCATTGGCCCTAATGTTGGGAGAGAAGGATTAGCATTGTTTGATACATGTATGTATCCTGAGATCCTTTTTTATTTTAAAAAAAAAACAACCCTATTAATCCCGAATATAAAAGTCACGGACGCCCATTTACAGAAAACCTCATAGGATATATAAAAATACAAAAATGCTCATAATCTTAGAGTCTGGACATACCCAACACTTTGCTGCAATCGTATGTAATCAATATCACACTTTGTGTAAAGTTGTCTTTTTATTCTGTCTTTCTCAATTGACGTTATGTTGCAAGGATTTGCCCCATGGTGATTTTTCATGGCTACATAATATTCCAGTGTTTGTTTAACTAGCTCCCTATCAATTGCTGCTGTTACACATGACAATAGCCAACATTTGCAAAGCTTTCTCGGTCCCTTTCTGAACGCTTACGTGGGTGAATTGACCTCATCTTCACAAGAGCCCAACGAGGAGGTATAAGTATTATTCGTATTTTAGAGATGAGGAAACGGTCACGGAGAGGTATCTTGTCCAAAGCCACTTGCCAGTAAAGGGTGGAGCCTGGGCTCTTAATATTCCTGCCCAAGTGTGATTCTCTCTTTAGGTTGCGCAGAGATAGGATCTCTAGGTCAGAGTTTCAAGGGCCTTATCAAGGCTCTTGAAATATTGCTAAATTGCTTTCTGCAAAATTCACTCTTTTGGCAATGAGTTTCTATTTCCTTTCGTTCCTTGATGTTTGAAAACAAGAGTGAAAGACAAAACCACCTGTGTTGCTGTAACTGAAGGGCTCTTTTTCCATCTTGCCTCCCATCCTGAGAGTAGCAGGAGGAGGGACCCGGAACACAAAGGTTAGTCTGGGCAGGAGACCTCAAGTCCTTGAATCCTGGCAGCTTTGGGGACTTCTGAAAGCACATTCAGATCAGGCGCATCCTGGGCCTGGCCTCCCTGTTCTCTGAGTTGCCTTGGAAATGAGGCGAATTATCAGTATCACTCCTTGCGGGCTGCTTTTCCACCGGCGGGTCGGGCTGGGGAGTCAATGACAGGAGTCCTCCCAGCCCTCTATCTTCAGGGTACGGAGTGTGCGCTGGGACGCGGGCCCCGGGGACCGGCCGCCTGGAGGGGGCAGCCGGGGAGGGTCGGGGCCCCAGCTGGGAGGCCCTGACGTTCACATGCTTAGTTGTTTGTTTGCGTGCTGGATGTTTCTGATAGAAAAGGCTTTTCAGTGTTTCAGAAGACTGGTTAAATGAATTAGGGACTATCCATTTAGTGGCATGGTGTGTATGAGGTAATCAATATGTACTGACAGGGAAAGGAGCCCAGAGCATGTAGTTAAAGTAGAAAAAGAAAAAAAGAACAAAGTACAGAATTGTACCCAGGATTCGTTCTCATTTCGGAGTATGTATAGAAAAAAAAAAGATTTCTTCTAGAAACTGGGAGGCGAAGGGTTTAGGACCCTCTATTTTCTATCTTATGTATGTTTATATTCCTTCAACTTTTCAGTGAATATCAATTATTATTATTTAGAGAGAGGGGTGGGGGAGGGGCAGAGGGAGAAGGAGAGAGAGATTCCTTTTTTTTTTTTTTTTGGAGAGAGAGACTCTTAAGCAGACTCCCCACTCAGTGCAGAACTGCACGCGGGGCTCCATCTCGCGACCCTGAGATCAGGACCTGAGCCGAAATAAAAAAAGTTGGAGGCGTAACTGACTGAGCCACCCAGGTACCCCAAACATCTATTATTTTTAAAATTAACTTAAAACCAATAGAGAATTTGCAGTAAGGTAGAGTACCTGGGGTATAAAATTTTAAAATACACAAACATATAAACTCACATTTACAAATAGGGAAGATATATAAAGATGAAAATGGGATCTAAGGCAATCTAGTACAGTTAATACAAAAGTACTTACCGAGCTGGTATTTGGGGAATGAAGTGTATTTTTTCTCGTTGCATTTCCTAAATGCTTGCTGATGTGATTGCATAACTACTCTACACTATTTAAATACTCTAAATGTAGATGTAACGAAAGAAGCGTGAAATTGTATTAAAAGTAAAGGGAAAAGGCAACTCTGCAAGGCAAGGGGAGAGTGTGTAGGAGCAGCATGAATGAAGATCCAGATACCTGGGTCGCCCCCAGGCTTGCTGTGTGATCTTGGCCAAGTCACTTGGCCTCTCTGGGCTTTGGCTTCTTTATCTAGCCTGGGGGTTCTCAACCCTGACTGCAGATCGGAATCACCTGAGGAGCTTCTAGAACCGTGCCCCGGCCTCTTTGGGGTGGGGTCTGGGTAGGCTCCCTGGTGATTCTGGTGGGCACACAACGGTGAGGACACCCATAAGCCTGAGCTCAGGGCAGGTCAGAAGCCTCTTGACCCAGACCCAGAAGTGACTTGTGGCCATCGAAACAAATAAATAAATAAGGAGAAGATCAATGCAGCTCTAGGAGAAGAAAAGTTTGAAAGACACCACTGGGCTAGATCACCTCTTGGTTTTGAAAAGTGGTTGCTCTTTGCTCATAATAACCACTTTCTGTTGGGATTTTCCCTCGGCATTTGGGTGTAAAGAGTATGCATTTTTAAAGTTGTCCAAATGCCTATTTATGCAGCAGACCATAATTCCTCTCTCGATAGGCTGCTATGCTTTATCAAATAAATGACACACATTTAAAAAACTGTCTGAAGGGGCATTTACCTGAGGGACTGTTATTGTGTTAGGATTCTTTTTTTTTTTTTTTTTGAGCCCTTATGGTTCATTGGGTAAATAATACCTTTTAACCAATTTTAAATAGACGCGTCTAGTAAGATGCCATTTAATCAATCTTATCCATTCTCATACCCTTCAAAGAGGGCTCTTTTAGGTTGTTTTGATTTTAAATTTTACATTAAGGTACTTTACCAAAAAAAAAGAAGAAGAAGAAGAAAAGAAAAAGGATCAGATCTTAAAGAACGGGGCACAAAGCAGGCACCTGCCATCTGACTTTTGTTTCCCTTTGGTAGATAAAAAGACGTTCTTATAACTTTGTTTTTTCTTCTGTGGGGCTACTTCAGTTTCTGTGCTAAATTCAAGACATGTTTGCCTTTGAGCAAAATAGACCCTAACCCTGTCCTTCAGTGAACATTCCCGATTGGATTATTTTGGGAGAAAGTGGGGGAGTCTGGGGCAGTTCCAGCACAAGAGGGAGTTATTGAGATAGGATGCTGAAATGGAGAACATCTGGTAGGATGGGGTTTATGTCAGCATGAGTCATGGGCCTTCTGCAAGCAATAGAGCCGGGGACAGAGAATTGACCCGAAGACCCCAACGGAGGCGACAGGAGGATTCGGTGGAGAATTCCAAGAATGTTGAGAGCATTGGTACAGAAGGCCAGCAACCCGCAAGGGGTTTAACCAAGGGTCTGACCTGATGCACAGAACCTCCAGGAAGGTTAAAAAATGATACAAAGGAACAATGCAGCCATCGACACTGCGCCCAGGAGAAAGGAGGAATCGGACCTCGAAAGAGGAGTTTTCGAAGTGTGTTCCCAGACCAGCTGCCTCACCGACATCTGGGAAGGCGGCAGAAAGACAGAGCCTCGGGCCTCACCTCAGACCCACGGAATGAGAGACCCTGGGGACTGAGGCCCGGCAAGCGGGGCTTTAACACATTTTCCAGGTGAGTCTGATGTACAGAGAACCTTGGAACCCCCCGGCTCCGTATAATTGTAGCAGAAGCCCCGTGGTTGCTGCCTCCCACTCTCTGGCCCCTGTGAATGGGGGGCTGGATGCCCACAGCTGCTACAGCCCCCCCAAAAAACCCGGTGCACCGGCCAGCGCGTTGGCGCAAGGTCTCCTCCCCGTGCACGCGGCTGCGCGTCCCTGGGGTGACCTCCAGCTCGGGGACTCCTGTAAGTCGTTCTCTAGGTACAACTGGAGTCCAATGACCCGCTAACATCCCGGCTGCAAAGGATGGCGCGACACGCGGGGAATTTACCTCTCCAGACCACAGTCTTACTACAGGACTGAGCTGGAGGCGACTGGATGGACGTTGGGCGAGCCATCAACGTGGTGTCCCCTGGTGCATGCCCAATGGCTCTACGCATTAGGCAGCCTTTTCCAGCGGTGGCGGGGGGGGGGGGCTAAAAATGAAGGCCTATGAGGCTGGCCACCCAGGTCTACCCCAATACAGGACCAACAGCACCCCACGGGCACCCCAGCACTGGGAACTCTACTCCAGCCACGGTGTGGAATCCAGGCTTTTCCTAGGGTTCAGGGACATAGTCTGGGCTCACCGTAACTGCTGTGGAAGAATGCCAACGTGGCCCTTGATTTAAAGACAATAATTTCCTTCCCAGCTCCCATTATTTATTTGTGAATTGAAGAGGAGGCTGTTCCTAAAGGGGCATGTGTCTCCCTTTCCTCGATGGAGTGCATTGCTCCCCAGTGCTGAACCCTTAACGAGATTACGTCCAGCTATTTGCACACATTTACCTTACAATCAGGGCAAGAGCTTCACAGATAAACCTTCGTATTTAATTTGCACTTGTTCTATGAAATGACATAGCTGCTGGGCAGGTGCAGCAGAAGGGGGCCGTCGTGTGGGTCCCCGAGGTCCCGGCTGGCCAGGCGGCTGGATGAAGTGTTTCCCCTTCTCCAGTCCCTCTCCAGCTGACAAACTGCTCACCCTCTCGCGATTCAGCTCTCAGTAACTTGGTCATCGCCTGAAAGACACTCTTCTCCGGGGCCCCGGCCTCACACTGCCCACCCGAAGGTCACGGCCCCTCATGCTGCGCCGCCGTCTACTCAGCACGGCTTCCTCCCTGAAACGCGCTCCTGTGTTTGTTTACGTGCCTGTCTCCCCGCCAGAACACAAGCTCCCCGAGGAGAGTGACCGGTCCGTCTTGTCACGGCCCAGTTGGGCGGGAGTTCCTTTGGGCCAGAAGGATTGTTCCTTCCTCCAGGCTGGTCCCAAAGGTGCAGACCGACTGCTATCACAATCAGGGAGACTTAGACCTGGCACCTTTTGACTTGGGGCTCACCACTCCTGGGGGAGACCCAACTCATAGCGCTCGGGTAGCGAACCCTGGGGCTTGGCTGAAGTTAGCTGCACAAGGCTGACTTGAAGAGATGCGCACAGTTTTTCATAGGCAGGCTTTTGTTTCCTCATGGCCAATGCCTGTGTCAATTATCTTGGTTAATTCACTTTTCAAACATATTATTTTTTAAAACGAGAGGGAGAAGCAGACTCCCCACCGAGCAGGGAGCCCGACGCGGGACTCGATCCCAGAACCCCGGGATCATGACCTGAGCCGAAGGCAGACGCTCAACGACTGAGCCACCCAGGCACCCCTCAAACATATTATTTTTTAAAACATGGGCCTTGATATACTCTTTCTCCATGTTTCATAGTTTGATGTTTTTTAGAAATACAAAATAAATGGAGAAAAGCAAACCTCATCCAGACCTAAGTGCTCTGCACAGAGGTGGTCTGATGCCTCCGTGAGGGGGTCCGTCTACAATGCACTCAATTTCTCAGCACTGTTACTGTCCTTTGCCAAACGGGGATGGTGAGAGTCCGCCTCCTGGGATTTTTGTGGCAATGTAATGAGCTACTGCACGTAAAACTATAGAAGTCCTGGTCCAGAGTGAGTGCTCAACTGGGAGGGCCACCTGCGGCAGACCAGAGGCCAAGGTAAAGGTACTAAGCGGCCACTCTGGGCCATGCCCCTGACTCCCAGACAGAAAGACTTTGATTCCTGGGGTTAGTCACTGGGTTGTTCTGGGTTGACTGCTATCCCCTCAAACTCATCTTCCCCCAGAATCTCAGCCTGTGACCTTACTCAGAAATAGGGTCTTTGCAGATGTAATTACACAAGTTAAAGTGAGGTCATTGTGGCTGGTGTCCTTGTCAGAAGAGGGAAATGTGGGGGCACTTGCGGGGGGCAGTCGGTTGAGTGTCCGACTCTTGGTTCTGGCTCAGATCTGATCTCAGGGTCATGAGATCGAGCCCCGTGTAGGGCTCCGTGCTCAGTGGGGAGTCTGCTTCTCTCCCTCTTCCTTTGTTCCTCCCCACCGTGCACACTCTCTCTCCCAAATAAATCTTAAAAAAAAAAAAAAAAAAAGGAAGAGGGAAATGTGGACCCAGACCCACAGAGAGGAGAACACTTTGGGAAGATGCAGACACAGAGACAGAGATTGGAGTGGTGTGTCTACAAGTCGAGGACCTCCAAGTGTGGCCAGCCACCACAAGAAGTTGCAGGAGACGTGGAAGGATCCTCCCCTAGAGCCTTGAGAGAGAACATGACTGTCATCACCTTGATTTTGGACTTCTGGCCTCCAGAACAAGGAGAGAATAAATTTCTGTTGTTTTAAGCCCCCCCAGTTTGCGGTGATTTGTCATGGCAGGGCTTGCTCCCTGCCTTCAGCTAGATCCTCCCGCTTTCTTGGAAACTCCAGCATGAACGAGATTAAGAGAGGACTTGAGAGTTTGGACTAATGGTCTGTAGTCGTTACCCTATCAGGTTATTAGACATGAGAGCACATTGAGGAGGACAATAGGAAGTGCATCAGTCAGTCCAGAACTCAGACATTTCTTTCAGCACAGCAGAGGATGTGAGTAAAGTAAGCTGGTGCGGCCAAACGAGAAGCAGGTGCTCCAGGGATGGAGAAATCCAGAGATGGGGAAGGAGACAGATTTGACCAAGGTGTATGTGATTGGAGAGTCTCAGCGATGAAAAGCCAAGCACTTCTCTTTTTTCAATAACCACGTCAAGCTTCTGGTCAGGGCTGCCAAGTGTTACGGGATGAAGTCCCCATATCCAGAAAGTTGACGACCTCTTTCTGGGCTCTGCTAATGTCTCTGGCTTCCTGATTGCAAAGATCTTTTCTCTTTGACTTTCATGGTGGAAAGCAAGGCGCTGCCCAAAGGAGGAGCCAGGGTGGCCCTGAACGGCATTGCTGCTTTTCTGGGTCGAGGTGGTGGCTGGCTGACTCACCTACCTTGCCTCAGTCCTTTGGGATCCTTGGTATCTATTGGGCCATCGCCACTGTCTTAAGTCATCATAACACCCTCCTGCCCCCAGACTCTCCCACCCCGGAAGAACAGCTTTAAAATTTCAAGTCCCAGGGCACCTGGGTGGTGGCTCTGTCAGTTGAGCATCTGACTCTTTTTTTTTTCTAAAGGTTTTTTATTTATTTATTTGACACAGAGAGAGAGACAGCGAGAGCAGGAACACAAGCGGGGGAGCGGGAGAGGGAGAAGCAGGCTTCCCGCCGAGCAGGGAGCCCGATGCGGGGCTCGATCCCAGGACCCTGGGATCATGACCTGAGCCAAAGGCAGACGCTTAACGACTGAGCCACCCAGGCGCCCCAGGGCACCAGTTAAATTTTATTTTATTTTTTTTATTTTTTAAGATTTTATTTATTTGACAGAGAGAGACGGCGAGAGAGGGGACACAAGCAGGGGGAGCGGGAGAGGGAGAAGCAGGCTCCCCGCCGAGCAGGGAGCCCGATGTGGGACTCGATCCCAGGACCCTGGGATCATGACCTGAGCCAAAGGCAGACGCTTAACGACTGAGCCACCCAGGCGCCTGAGCATCTGACTCTTGATTTTGGCTCAGGTCATGATCTCAGGGTCGTGGGATCGAGCCCCAAGTCGGGCTCCATGCTCCGCGGCGAGTCTGCTTGAGATTCTCTCCCACTCCCTCCCCCTTTGCCTCTCCTCCCACTCTCTCTCTCTCTCTTTAAAAAAAATAAATAAATCTTTTAAAAAATTTTAAGTCCCGGGGTTGGGTGATTAAAAAAAAATACGTAAATAAAATAAAGTAAAATAAAATAGCAAATCCCCTTAAAACCCTCTAAAAATGGTTCTGTCACAGGTGTGAATTAATAGAATCTATTACACCTGAGTGCTGGCCAGTGGCTCCTTCCCATGGGCCTTTTCCTCCAGGAAGAGTCGCCAGCTCTGGGATTCCATGCTGGACTGGAGTGAGCAAACCAGTGGCACCCAGCACACGTTACGGAAGATACCAAGTCTAGCCTTAACGACATGCCTGAGAACACACTTCGCTGGTGGTGTGATTGGTCTCTAATCTCCACGCAGGTACCAGGGGGTGTGTGATGGGCTGGAGGCCCCAACACAAGCAGATAAGTGAACCAAAGCATCTCCGTCCTCAAGCCTTCAGCAGGTCCCCCGCCTGGTGGCCCTCCTATTTTGTGCCAACATCGGCCCCCTATTCTCTTAATATTCTCTCCTGTCTGCTCCAGGCCTTTGTTGTACTAATCATCTATTTTTATCTATTATTTTTGAGTGGTTTAATTCAAACCTATATTTGTAGTTTCTTTCTTTGTTTCTTTCTCTTTCTTTCTTTCTTTCTCTTTCTTTCTCTTTCTCTTTCTTTGTTTCTTTCTCTTTCTTTCTCTTTCTCTTTCTTTGTTTCTTTCTCTTTCTTTTTCTTTCTCTCTTCTTTCTTTCTTTCTCTTTCTTTCTTTCTTTTTCTCTTTTCTTTCTTTCTCTTTTTCTTTCTTTCTTTCTCTTTCTTTCTTTCTTTCTTTCTTTCTTTCTTTCTTTCTTTCTTCCTTCCTTCCTTCCTTCCTTCCTTGTTTCCCTTCCTTCCTTCCTTCCTTCCTTCCTTCCTTCCTTCCTTCCTTCCTTCCTTCCTTCCTTCCTTTTCTGTCATTTCTAATATGCTTATTCCCAGACCCCCCTCTTGGTACACATGTATAACCAGTAAAACAGAAGGCAAAGAAGTACACTCATCATTGAGTCTCTTCCAGCTACAAGAGGGGCCGAAAGTGCAGCCTTAAAGTGTACTCGGAATCAGCGAATGTCAGAATGCCTAGTGAACACCACACTCTACCCAGCGTACCAGCTCACCCTCTTGCTGTGCTCAGAATAGACTCATTCCGCTCTCATTGCCCCTGGAGCCCAGATGTCCCGTCCAGGGTCAGTATCCAGTTCAAAATTCGGGTCTCCTTGGACTTCAGTGAATGAGGTGCAGTCTCACCCACCTGGAAACCAGTGAGCCAGAACGCTGGGCTATCTGGGACCCCCCGCCCCACATGCAGTGGCCGCATCAGGATAGGATCTGTGCACGACCCACTCCTTTGGGAAAGGAAAATGCGGGGCTGCACAGCGTCCCTGGTCCACAGTCTGATGTGGACCGAGGGTGTGCGGACGTTCTGAGAAGCTCACACTCTGCGGGGAGAGCATCTTTCTCGAACGGGCCCTGATTCAGCTCCCTGGAGGCAGTTCCCTGTCTGTGCCGTCCATGGCTGTGGCTCTGCTTTGCTCGTCGATCACTCTCCTAAGTGTCATTTGAATAGGGCACTAGTAGAGGATATCCTTGGGGGAGGGACGGCTTCCTCGGCCTGCTTGCTGCCTAAAGGTCGCTGAGGGGACCAAAGGTCACTTAAAATCTCGAGCAGTCACAGACACTTTTAGGCCAGGCTGGTGGTTTAAAAAAAAACAAAAACAAAAACCAACTAAACACAGTCCACTTCTTATCTGTTCGAGTCTGGTCAGCTTCTTGGGGCAGTAGCCATCCCTATGGTTTTTTTCCAGACATCCGTCTTAGATCTGCATACCTCTTAGTGCCTTTCTTGCCCCCATGTCTCTGCTTATCAGGTTCGGGTGGGAAAGACTCACCCTTAGTCTCTCTCCTCAGCCGTGGAAACCAGCAGCATTCCAGAAGGTGGTTACCCCATTGGCTGGGTCCAGAGGGAGGTCAATAATAACATGGGACAGAGACGCTGGCTGACCCTTGGTGAAAATATAGTGGGGTGAGAGATGAACTGTTGTGGGTTAAGACACTGTATTTAGGGGCGCCTGGGTGGCTCAGTTGGTTGGGCGACTGCCTTCGGCTCAGGTCATGATCCTAGAGTCCCTGGATCGAGTCCCGCGTCAGGCTCCCTGCTCAGCGGGGGTTCTGTTTCTCCCTCTGACCCTCCCCCTCTCGTGCTCTCTCTCTCTCTCATTCTCTCTCTCAAATAAATAAAATCTTAAAAAAAAAGACACTGTATTTATTTTTTGATTAAGAAATCTTTAAAAATGGTGGTAAAATTCATATAACATCAAATGTATTATCTTAATCATTTTTAAGTGTACAGTTCGAGAGAGTTAAGTACATTCACATTGTTGTGCAACCGGTCTCCGAAACCCTTTTTGTCTTGTAAAAACTAAAAATCTGCACCCATTAAACAAGATATCCCAGCCCCTGCTCTCCCCCAGCTCCTGGAAACCTCCATCGTACCTCATGCATCTAGGAACTGGACTATTCTAGGTTCCTCATATAAGCAGAATCATGCAGTATTTGTCTTTTTGTGACTGGCTTATTTTACTTAGTATAATGTCCTCAAGGTTCAATCTGTGTTGTGGCAGGTGACAGAATTTTCTTTCTTTCTTTCTTTTTTTAAGATTATTTATTTGAGAGAGAGGGAGAGAACATGAGTGGGGGGAAGGGCAGAGGGAGAGGGAGAAGCAGGCTTCCCGCTGAGCAGGGAGCCCGACGTGGGCCTCGATCCCAGGACCCCGGCATCGTGACCTGAGCCGAAGGCAGACGCTTAACTGACTGAGCCACCCAGGTGCCCCAGAATTTTCCTTCTTTGTAAGGCTGAATGTGATTCCATTGCAGGTATATACTACATTTGTTTATCCATTCATCCATCGATAGACACGGGGGTCGTTTCTTCCTGTGGCCGTGGAGAATAAGGCTGCCAGGCATGTGACTGTACAAATATCTCTTCGAACTCCGCTTTCAGTTCTTTTGAGTATATACCCAGAAGGGGCCACTACAATGTTGATGTTTTTGTTTGTGTAGCGTAACTGATCCTATCCTGTGCAGGACCTGGCACAACTCACTTTAGCTTCATACCCATGGGTAGTCGAAGACGGATTGCACTTGCATTGCTCTTTTTTAAAAGAAGGCTGGGCTAAATATTCTTCCCGAGATCCTCAAATAGACCCTTACCTTGGGGGCAGCTGACTTGGTCCCTAGAGAGGAGGTTTGCAGCCCCGCAGACGTGTACCCTCAGCCAAGTGTTCCTCCTTCCTCCTCTCTACTTGATCCTTCATGCTCTCCTTCCAGCCAAATGATTATTAATGTTTATGTTTTTATCTCTAGTGCCTGGCAATATGGTTGACATATAACTACAATCTCTCCCCTACTATCAAGGATTTTCCTGGGCACCAGGGATGTAAATCTTAAATGAGGGTTGTTCTGGGCCCGAGGGACATAAATATCAAGTAGGACACACTCGGTGCTGGATAGCTCCCTTCGCCCGGCCGGATCCACGCTCCACATCTCCACCCTGCTCTCTGCCCAGAAGGGGGATCCTGTGGCCCCCCTCCCTGGCCTCCTGGCGCCCCTGGTGTCGGGTCAGCCAACAGGGAGCACCAAGGGTGGTTCAGGAGCGAGGCTGGAGTCTTGATTCCCCTGGATTGTCCTTTCCTGGCGCCGCATGCTTGTCTCAGGCTGCTCCCGTCCCTCCGGTGAAGGAGGCCCTTTTCAATAGGACTCTCCATTCTGGCTTTGCTGACTCTGGGTACCACAGCATCCTCCGTGCTTTCCACTCTACCGGACTTTATCGTGGGGAATTGTCCCTTAGGAAGTGGGGGTTCCCAATCTGGCAGTGGTAGCTATTTCCCGCTGAGACCCTGCCGGGCCCATGGTCCTACCCCGTCGGACCCGTGAAGAAGACAGAGAGGAAACAATAATGTAGATACCATGTTGTGACAGTAACTCTAGTCCAAGAAGCCATGGGAGTTACTATGGGTGGGTAAGAGAAAGCATTTAAACTAAACTACCCTGAAGAATCTACTGTACCCAGAGCAAGGTGTCTGATCTGGGTATTTCAGAATTCAGTTGCTCACCGTGTTCATAGTGTGCAAATCTAGAAGAGATTCAGGTAACAAGAGAAATGACAGTATTACCCACGTGCAACTGTTTCTCACGAAGGACGCTCCTGGATACAGGAGTGCTACTTAAACCAGCCTGTAAGCGGTCCATGCAGCCTTGTCCCCAAGCAGATGCAAGCTCCGCAGAGCACCCTGGTGGGGCTTTGACCACCCATGCTCCAAGACCCGAGAAGCTTCTGCTCATGACTGTGGCCACCTGCTCGCCCTCTCCTTATTGGCCAGTATTCCTGGGCTGCAGGGGCCCTTTCTAGTGTTCTCAATAACGTCAAAGTCATCCCTGCCATGGCCCGTGGATCTCTTTCCTCTGCTTTCTCAACTCCACCCGCGACGATACCTAGCGTCACTGTCAAAGTTGCATTTTTTTTTTAAATTTATTTATTTGACAGAGAGAGACACAGCAAGAGAGGGAACACCAGCAGGGGGAGTGGGAGAGGGAGAAGCAGGCTTCCCGCGGAGCAGGGAGCCCGATGCGGGGCTCGATCCCAGGACCCTGGGATCACGACCCGAGCCGAAGGCAGACGCTTACCGACTGAGCCACCCAGGCGCCCTCAAAGTTGCATTTGAACATCCAGCCCGATGCCCTCTTTGTTGCTCTGTGAGGTTCAGTACTATACTCACAGACACTTGCTCAGGCACAATAGGCCAAAACTAGCTGCTGGAACAGAAAGCGCTCCGGGACAGAGGGGTCCAGTTGGAAGTTGACTGGTGAGTATGTAGGTTAAGATGTGAATGGTTTGGGGGAACATTAGGTTGGGGGACTTAGGCATGCACAAGGGGGACACAGGGCTGCCCGAGAAGAGGCCGGGAGGAGAGCAGTGGCAGCCGAGGGGGCAGTGAGCAGGAAAGATGGGTGATCATAGACATGACATTTCTAGCAGGAAAGATGGGTTGAGGGCCATTGGCCAACATCAGGAGGTTGCATCTCACATTTTGGGCTGGGGAAAGCCTTCCATGGCTTGTAATCCAGGCAACCGCGACTCACAGTCTTCCCCAAGACATTCTACCCTCAGACGGTGAGAATGTCCACACCGTGGGCTTGACCTTCCTGATAAAAAAAATTCTCTTTGGGTTTGAATCACCTCTTCTGAAGGGGGTTCAAATCCTCTGGGGGTGGTAACGACACATCAGGACTAGTGTGAATGAAGCAAGGGTGGCTGGATAAGCTTGCTGAAGACAGTCTTCATCCAGCAGTTTTCCCTTTGCATGCCCCTGCCTTCAGAATCTCCAGAGCATGCACGCCACCTCCCAACCACAGGGCGGATGGTGGTATGGGGTGGTATGGGGTCAGGGTTAGGGGACTAGAAAACATGACCTGTTGGAACATTTTTTATTTTTAAATAAGTTTCCCTACCCCCCCCCTTCTTTTTCCCTTTATATCCTCTAATCTCACCATTCATTCATTCCGAACTTCGCTGCTTCTTTTGACCATTCTTAAGGTACGGAGCAGGGGCGGGGGGATGGTGTGGTAGGAAAGGAGGGCTGTCATTTTTATTCTGCAGGCGGTGAGAGCCATCGGTAGGCTCCAAGTGGGAGAGACGTGATCCGGCTCAGGCTGCCTCGGACTCTCTGCAAACAGTGCTCAAAGTGACGAGTAACCCGGCCCACTTGGGTTATATTTTAAGATGGAGACAATGGCATTTACTGGAGACTGGAGGTGGGGGTAAGGCAAAGAGAAGTGCGAAAAAGACTCCTAGTTTTTTGACTTGAGCAACTGGTACAGGAAAGTATAAAAGATGCCAGTCTGTTTATTTTTCTAAAGAAACTATGCATGTGTATTTCTTTTTAAAAGTATGTAAAGTGTTTTTCTACATGTGTGTTTTCTATATATGTACGCTACGTATGTACAGTTTTACTATATCTAAATATATAGTTCTATGAATATTGAGAGAGAGAGAGATGGAAACAGGTAAAATTGTTAACAGTGATTTTCCCAGGGGAGAGAGAGGGACTTTCCTTCTCTGACCTATTGCTTCTGTTTAATCATGATTTTTCCGTGATGATGTATTAATTGTACTCAGGAAACTATCTACAAACTGTGAGCAATGGTAATCTCCGGGTAGTGAGAATGAACATTTTTTCTTCTTTATATGGTCTAGTTGTAGTAGGTCACCCTATTGCTGTACAGTCATGTCACCACAAACTCAGTGGCTCAAAGCAACACGTATTCATTATGCCACAGTTTCCGTAGGTCAGGAGTCCAGGTCCAGCTTAGCCGCATCTGCTGCAAAGCTGTAATCAACATGATCACTGGGGCTGTGGTCTCATCTGCGGCCAGAGTGGGAAAGAATATACTTCCCTGCTCACATCACTGTTAGGAGCTTTCCGTTTCTTGCGGGTTGTCCGATGGAGGGCCTCATTTTCTTGGAAGTTGTTGGCCAGAGGGCACCCTCGGCTCCTTGCCATGTGAGTCTTGCCAACAATGACCACTTACTTCCTACAAGGAAGAGTCTCCTTGCAAGACAGGTATTACAACCTTATGTGATGTGATCATAGACATGACATTCTATCGCCTTTGCCATCCCGTGTGGGCAGAAGCAAGTCACAGGTCCCACCCCTGCTCGAGGGGAGGGGCATCGCAAAGGCGTGACCATCAGGAGATGGTCTGTCTGCCACACTTGTTTCCTAATAATAATTTACAGTACACCTGTAGCTTCTGTCTTAATGTGCCATTTTTAAAACACTGTATTCATTTTCAACAACTGAAAAACAGTAGAGAAGAAGATTATTTATAAACAACCTAAAAGGTATTGATTTCTTAGTAAAAAGAATTTCTTAAATTAGGCTCTGCTCTGATTATGTTTCCTAAAGCTGAAATCTGTTTAGTGAAGCTAATATAAAGAATAAGACCAATGTTTTTTGTTTTGGGAGTTTGTGTGTGTGTGTATATGTGTTTCCAGAAAGACCCCTGAACCTTTATTTCAAATAGGTAGGAGGTCATCGAGGATTAAAGGTAATGGAAAAACATACTAACTACCCATGGACCACATCTGGAAGATGATGCCTCCTGTCCAGCTCATTGGAACTTCCTGGGGGTTGCTCTTCTCAAAATACTCGACAGATGGGGTGCCTAGGTGGCTCAGTCGTTAAGCGTCTGCCTTCGGCTCAGGTCGTAATCCCAGGATCCTGGGATCAAGCCCCACGTGGGGCTCCTTGCTCAGCGGGGAGCCTGCTTCTCCCTCTGCCTGCCGCTCCCTTTTCTTGTGTTCCCTCTCTCTCTTAAATAAAGAAATAAAATCTTAAAAAAAAAAAAAAATCCGACAGTTTCTTCTGGAGGCTGCCCTTTACCTGGAGCTGTCGTGTTGTACTGGAAGAAAAGCTCAGCAGAACGTGGAGAACTCAGGTTCCAGTTTAGAGCCCATTACTTTTGTAACATCAAACACAAAATCTAATTTCTCTGGGTTTCCATTTTTGTATATTTGAAGGGGAATAAAAGTGATACTTGCATCCGTTGATTCTTTAGTAGCAGATGGATGAGATAAATCAATCCATACCCATCTGGCTTTCTAGAAGTTCATGATTTAGGGTCTAGCAGCAACTTCAGCGTAGGCTTTCTTACCTATCACAGCTGTTCCCCTGTAAGACCTAACTCAGTATCGGAAGGGCTCTTCCCACCCGCATCCTGTTGTCTCCGCTGCCTGGTTCAGACTCTCTTGTGGTGCAGTGAACACCCCCCAGAATGCCAATCCAGTTCACGAGGACCAACCCCTTCCTGGTCTCCCTTAACGATCACAGCGGACCCCTGGCCACATGTCTGGACCGGGGATGGGCCCAAACCCAGCTAGGCCACTCGGTTTCTTAGCCTTAGGGATTTGGAAGCGGGACTCCAAGTGCCACTGTCGGAAAGAGCCTCACCCTCAGTCACCAGCATTCCTGCCTGCCCCTCGTCTCCCTGGGTCCCTCAGAAGAGGGGACGTCAGCTGGACTGACGGACCGACCTTCCTCCCAGGTTCCTTCCGTCTGCTGTCCTACTCACGCTCTCATTTGTTCAGGAAGCATTCATTGTTGGATGGCTGGCGGGCACTTTACACCATTCATTTAATCTTCACAGCAACGTCAACCCATGCGGCTTTCTAGAACTTCTATGGCCACGACTCTGAAGGCGGGCATTATCACCTGCAGGCTACAGGTGTAGAAATGAAGTCTCCAAAAGGGAAGCTAACTTGCTCACAGGCTCAGGTGTAAAGGGGGAACGAAGGAGTCTAAGTTAGGTCTGATGCCAGAGTTCCTGGTACTTTTTCTCTCATCCCACAGGAGTGGGCTCGGTCTGCGTTTGGCCTCCCGGGGACGGTGAAGAGGGAGAACACCCTTGTCGGACCCGACTGAGGACAGTGCAGTACCCAGATGTAGACACCAGGTGGCAGAGAACCGTAGGGCGCACGGCTTCCCTAGCCCGCGCTGGGTACGGTTCCGGCTTCTAGATTCCTGCCTTCTTGACGTTGAGAGAAGGATGTGTACAACTATTCAATACATACCCAAACTATAAGTGTGTCATAATTTGCTACAATAAATAGAGGGAGAATTGTAGAAGGAAAAACAAATATAGAGAGAAAAAAAAAGTAGTGACAGGTATCAGCACTGTAATTGGCAAAGGTTCACTTAAATTTTTCTTTTTAGTATGGTTGTTTAGATGACACAGTGCAATAATTTATTAAGTGGTATTTAAATTCCCACTTTTTTTTTTTTAGAAAGAACGAGCGCTTGTGTGTGCAAGCAGGTGGCAAGGGGGTGGGAGCAGAGGGAGAAGGAAAGAGAGAATCTTAAGTAGGCTCCACGCAGTGGTCAATCTCACGACCCTGAGATCATGACCTGAGCCAAAATCAAGAGTCTGATGCCTACCTGAGTGAGCCACCCCAGGCCCCCCTTAATTCCCACATAATTTTTGAAAAAAATAATGGACCTCTTTAAATTCTCTTTTCCTTATTTTTACTAGAGGGAAGAGTATCTTTCCTCTAATTATGGAACGGAAAGAGTATATAATTTCGTTTTATGGGAAAGAAGTCTACTAAGGTGGTGTTTCATTTTAGTCTTACAGTGTTTCAGAACGTGAGTACTGAGACTTGAAATCAGGTGTTTCTACGACTGCAGGCAAAAAAAGTCCAGTGCTCCCTATTGCCCACAGAGTAAGTGAAGCCAAGGCAAGGGCCAGACCTAGTTTAGCTGGTCCAGGAAGCCCTCTCTGGGGCCTCACCTTACTTGATATGAAGTACGGTACGTCCAGTGGCCTGCAAGAGGAAAGACTTTTGCTTTTTTCCAAAGTAGGGTAGAACATGCTTCCAAAGATGAAGACTCGCCCACGTTAGCCACAAGGAGGTGTGAGGCGTTCTCCTCTGTGTACCATCGTTACTGGTCACGGAAGCTTCACGAGTGACAAGAAACTCTCAGAAGAGCAGGTGCCAAGTGTCTCGTCTAAGAGCACTGAGGGGGACTGCAGCGGTCAGCCGGAGAACAGAAGCAAGGACGCAGTGACAGTGAACTCCCTTCGTGCCCTGGAACAGAACCAGTAAGGGAGGCCTGTTTCCCTTATTAAACTGGATTAGTGTCTATATTGATCGCCTTCCCTCCAGATGAATAGCCATAATAGGAGTGCATTGTTCTGGTCTCTTCTGATTGTCCACTGATAGATCCACTGGTATGCATAAGGCCACCCCTTATAATCCTGGTTGGGGCCATGCTTTTCTGCATTTGCTTGGCAAAGAGACCAGTGTTTCAGGCCCAGAAATGAAAGAACCCAAGGAGCAAGAAGGGGACAGACACAGAAGCTGCTAAGGAGGTGGAACACAGGGAGCTTGGTGACAACCCAGCTCATGGGACTCGATGAGGGGATGCCCGGAAGTGCTCCATACAGCATCAGGCCACAGGAGGGAATGGGCCGGCATGGGCCGATAGCATACAGGGGAATGGGGAGCGAGCCTAGAACACGGCAGCGCGGCCCGGGGTAGGCTGGAATCTGTCTGTCGCACACTGAGAGGCACACAGGAGTGCGTGAGGACCCCGTCCTCCGCACGCCCCACATGCAGCCTTCAGGCTCCTCTGAGAAGTCTTCTTGCTGCCCAGTGGGCTTTTCTTTTCGTCACCCAAAGAACAGCCTGCCGGGGTCCAGCGCCACAGGGGACGATCCAGTTCGAACAGGGACATCTGCGGTTTAAACGATTAGCCACCAGCCCAGCTGTCGTCTGCGCTCATGGGGTGACTGGGAAGACACTGTCTCCGTGCGAGCACCTGGTGCCCTGGGGAGGAATGCCGGTCACTGGAACTTGGAATGAAAAGCAGCCCAACCTCAAGGAAAAACGCCCTCACCCCCAGCGAAAGAGTTGGCCCTCCTGGAGCGCTTGGACACGTCTACAGAATGCCTTGATGAGCATGACCTCGTGTGGTTGCTCGTCACTTGCTTTTCTGGGTGTAAGAGGCTTGGAGTAGAGCAGCTATGGAGTCTCTTTGGCATTCCTTCCAGAAGTTTCTCCCTTCCTGGTCAAGTCACATGATCTGAATGTAACTGGTGGGGTGCTTGCGTGGCTCCTCTGGGGTCTTCACGGCCCCAGCAGGATGCTGTGTAGCCTGCATGGATTTCCACCTTCCATGGGTTCTTTCTTGCCCTAGCTCTGGACAGGGTCCTGAGAACTCAAGGGGACCCCTCTGAGAAGACTTCTGGGTAAGAAGGGGGGTATCGCCAGCATTATTTACGGAGTGCCAGAGAATAGTTCTGGAACTGCAGGGCTCCATCTGTGACTGCATCATCCGGATTTCTGTGGCTTCTTACTGCTCACGTAGGAGCCGTGGGCCACCACCAGCGGGTGGGTGAGGTTGAAGAGAAAAAATTCATCATGGCTAGACACATAAAACAGCAGTGTTCATGTGTGCGCTCTCTTGCTGTCTTAGCAGTCTGCACCTCAGAGGAAAGGGTAGAAGCCAGCAAACTGGTTGCTTTCCAAGGGCACCTTGAAGGAGTCTTATCAAAGCGACAGCCCGATGTTCTGTGGCAGGTAAATAAGCTCTGTTCTTGTTGACCGATCAGCCAAAGTCCTTAGACTTACTGGCTGAAACCACCCACGACCTGGAGAACTCAGCCAGCCACACGGCAAGGACACAGAGCCCCCCGGGGCTCAGCCCTTCTAATAATACACTTTCTCGGCAGGGCCCGTAAATAAGCATCCTTGCTTGTTTTGCTGGAGACAGCGGGCCTGCCTCCTGTATGCTCCCTCCTTAGGGTGGGAGTGATATCCTCAGCACTTGCTTTCCCAAGTAGAACAGACTTGGAGAAAGCAGCTGTGCTTTAGCTTTTTGTTCTAGAAAGTTCTGTCCTCCTAGTTGACAGGCCACATGACCTAAATAGAACTGGGGCAGGGTGGTTGGGTGCTTGTGTGACTCTTCTGGGGTCTGCAGACTCCTGGCCCAGCCCTAACTGCAGTGGCTGTGGTAGGCGGGATCGTGACACTCAGAGGCACATGGAAAACCGAGTAATTGTATTTGCAGTAGCAAGGGTATTCCTGGAATCACACTTCTGTGTCTTTAACTGAGCAGAATCTAGGATATTTTAGGGGACCAATTTTGGGCCTGAAGGATTTACGTTCACCCTGTAGCTCCTAAATCATCTGGCTAGGGGGACAGACTGTCCCATGAGACCCAGGCAGAGTTTGAGGCCGTAGACATTTGCTGAAAAAAGGCAGGTGTAACTCAGCTTGCAATCTTTTCCCTGGAATAAATTTGTCTTCCCGAGTTAATCTCAGAGAAAGGGCAGCTTGGTTGATTTTGTCTCCAGAATTTGAGTCTCTAACACTGAAATATAATCCCACTGGATGTATTGCTTTGGTGAAGAATTCTTTTCTCCCTACAAGAGGGGCAATGTATTGGAGTAAGCGCAGGGATTCTGGAACTGGGTTCTTGGTCCAGCTCTGTCACTTAATAGCTATGTGATGTTGGGCAAGTTACCTAACCTCCCTGCTTCTGTTTCCTTCTCTGCCAAAAGGGGAAAGTAACGGTGGGCATTTACCTTACAGGTTTATGGTGAGGAGAAAATGAATTAACACGCATAAAGCACTGAGAACAGTGCCTGGTACATAGTTAGGTGCTATATAAAGGATTGTTATCTTTCACTATTTGAAACCAGAGCAGAATGTGAAATAAAGGGGTGTTGGGCTGCTGGCCTGGAGTAGTAGCAATCTTGGCCTAGGATGCAAGAGACATGCACTCTCTAATCAGGCTTCCCATTAAGTAGTTGGGTAACTCTGAGCCACTCAGAGCTTCAGTTCCTTCATGTTATGATTTTTTAAAAAAGACTGATTGATTGATTGATTGATTTAGAGAGTGTGAGCAGGAGGAAGGGCAGAGGGAGAGAGAGAATCCCAAGCAGACCCTGGGCCGAGTGCAAAGCCTGACACGGGGCTTGATCTCACGACCCTGAGATCATGACCTGAGCCGAAACCAAGAGTTGGATGCCTAACCGACTGAGCCACCCACGTGCCCCAGTTCCTTCATTGTGGGGTGGTGATAACAACCCAAGTGACCATCCAAGGATAATGGATAAACAAAACATGGCATATACATACAATGTGCTATTATCCTGCCATGAAAAGGGATGGAGGCCTGACACTCACTACAACATGGTTGAATCTTGAAGATGTTATGCCAAGTGAAATACACTTATTTCAGGCAAATTCGCACAAACAGAAAGTGGAACGGAGCATACCAGAGGCGAGTGGGAGTGGGAAGTGGGTCGTTACTGCTCGATGGTAAGCTTCTGCTTTGGGTGATGAGTTTCGGAGACGGATGGTTCCGGTGGTTATTCATCAGTGCAAATGTACTGAATGCCACTGAATCATACATTTATTAAAATTAAAATGGCAAACTGCATGTTATGCGTATTTTACCACAACGAAAAAAAAAATCACACATAAGAAGTCAAAATAAGAAAGGGAGAGGCAAGCTTTGAAAGAGAAAGGGACTTGCTATAAACTTTGAACTTTTATAGTCCATGAAACCATAAATGTGGGTTACCAGGGGGAAAATGAGATGGTGACATTTGCCCGAAAGCCCTTTCCAGCGCCAGCCTGCTAGGAGGTAAACTCCCTTTCTTTCGGGCACTGTCCTGCTCTTTGCTTCCTTCAGGACACAAGTCTGGATGAATCTTCCCAGGAGCTCTCCTACCTCCCCTGGGCTCCACCCGCCATCCTATCTCAGGGGCCCGCTGCACCCTAACGTGTTTTTCTTTACTTGGGTGTGGCTGCTAGTCAACGCAATGGTTATCCCCTCAATGGGGAGGGGCTGATCCTCTCCACTTTGTGCAGCCCTACCCCCACCCTTAGTCCTTGACTCAGAAGGAGTCACAATAGATGCTCAAGAAGATTCCTCCCTGCATCCCTTATGAGGAACTACAACTACCGCTGGGCTTGGCTGCATCGTGTCCTGTACCTAGACTTCTGCTCTGCCCACCGTCACCAGGACATCTTACCTTGTGACGCAGCACGTGCGTGCGTGGGCATGTGAATGCAGTTTCATTAACTATTACTAACCATTACTATACGTGGTACAATCTGAAATTCCAGATTTAATGGATTATTAAAAAATGCTTGTAGTAACACTGATGGTCAGTAGGAGACTGGTTCATGCAGGGGTGTGTCCACCACTGGCCGCTGGGGAGGGGCGGGGCTGATAGGTCAGGCTGCGCAGGGAACAGAGTGAGTGACCGGGTTGGTGGCTTGGAGGAAAGCCGCAGTCTCAGCACCAGTGGGACCTCAGGATGCCCATGCAGGCTCTCACGTCCCTTAACACTGGTGGAGCCCATTCCGACTTCAGTTGCTTTAGCTGAACGAGCTTTTCCTAGTTCACCCTTTCCTGGGGGGCGGAGGGGTGTCATTTAAATGCATTGTGTGCGGGCACATGGGTGGTTCAGTCGTTGGGCGTCTGCCTTCGGCTCGGGTCGTGATCCCAGGGTCCTGGGATCGAGCCCCGCATCGGGCTCCCTGCTCCGCGGGAAGCCTGCTTCTCCCTCTCCCACTCCCCCTGCTTGTGTTCCCTCTCTCGCTGTGCCTCTGTCAAATAAATAAATAAAATCTTTAAAAAAAATAAAAAAAATAAATGCGTTGTGTGCTGGGGGTTGGGTTTTTGGCTCAGTGTTCCACCCCCTTCCTCCTGGATCAGGAAAGAACTCCTCTTCTCCCTGTTCACATGACTGCCCTTTAGATGCGTGACCGCCCACCCTGTGGCTCATGGTGAACAGCCTGTGGACTCCGGACTTGGGACCCAGCACCTTCTTCCCGACAAGTGCTTCTGCTCGCCATCTGGGTTGTGGGGAAAGTGGCATCCCTGGAAGGGAATGAGGGTGGCAGGGCCCGGCCCTGCAGATCCTGGGACCCACGGCATCTGAAGACAACTATAAGAAGGCATCCATCCCCCTCAGCGTGCGGCCGCCGGCTCTTCCAGCCTTCGTCTGCGAGGCTGGGGTCTGAGAGTTACACAGGTCTCCTTGTCTTCCAGTGAGCTCCGCCCACAATCCTACAAAGGTGTTTCTCGTGCTTGACCAAAGTGACGATGCCGTCGGCTGGACCTTTACGGTGGAGCCCGGGAACACATGCCTCTGTATTTTGAGGCTATTCGGCAGATGGCTTCTCACAGAGCAGCCAGACGGTTATGCTGTCCCTAGGCAGTGAAGAGTTCCCTTCTTTCTTCTTCTTTTTAAAAGATTTATTTATTTATCTGAGAGAGAAAGTACACAAGCAGGGGGAGAGGCAGAGGGCGAGGGAGAATCCCAAGCAGACCCCCTGCTGCACAAGGAGCCCAACATGGGGCTCCATCTCGCAACCCTGAGATCATAACCTGAACCAAAATCAAGAGTTGTCAGATGCTTCACAGACTGGGCCCCCCAGGAGTTCCCTTCACTCCATTAGCAAGTGGGAAAGCTCTTGTCTCTGCCGGCTGCCCGCCCCCAACCTCAGCACGCACAGCCCCTCAGCCAGCACAACCAAGATCCCAGCTCCGTGGGGGACGTTAGGCTGGGACCAGCTCCCGAAGGGCAGGTAACTGCCCCGACACCGTGCCCGACTCACTTGGTAAGACTGCCTCGGAACAAGTCCATGGACAAGACTTCAGACGAGATTACGGAGCCCTGCCTGTTGGCCACGGGAGGTAGCCAGGGCCTGTGGTGAGAATCCTGCTTCTAGCTGGGAGCCGAAGGGGCTCTAACGTGACTCATGCCAGTCCCCTCTTGGACTCTGTCAGCAGGAAGCCAAAGGCTGTGGACATGGTTCCCGGTGTGGGTGCCTGGATGAGGACAGCCTGGAGCAATGAAGGGTCTTCCTCTGTCATGTCTCACCCTGGCTGATGTCCCTCAAACACAGCATTCGAAACCAGCTCCTAAGACGCTTAGGACAAGTCCTCCCTTCCAGCTGCTTCCGGGTGGCCACCCCACTTCCTGCCCACTGCTGCACGTTGTCACAGTCCCTGGCCGCTCTGTGGCAGGGGAGTCTAGTCAGGGGCTCCCCCAGGGTGATGCTCCTTGCAGTGATGATGGTTTGGCTGAAAATTTCCATGAGGTGTCCACTGTGGAAGAGCTCCGCAAGCATCAGTTAGCCTCAAGGAGGGACCAGATTTACTGTCTCCACCCTTTCCCACAGGTATTCAAGGAGGGTAATAGAAGTAGGTCTGTTGAGCAACACCCAAAACCCTGGCCAGAACCACTAAGGGGAAGGATCTCACTGTGAAGTATTTATTGCATTTTCTGGCTCCACATCCTTTACTCTGTTTGAAGCCAAACATCCTGACTTGTTCTTCTCACTGAAGAGGCCCGACCTGTTTCCCGATCTCCTTGAATCTGGGCTGGTCTTGGACTTGCTGGGGCCAAGAGCATGTCGTGTGGAATGATGGGGTGCCAGCACTGAAGCGAAGCCTGAACAAGCCTGGTCCACTTGCTCCTCCTGCATCTTTGTCACGGCCTTGAGAACATTCTTGGGCTATGCAGCTGGAAGGTACGAGTCACAGAGCTGAAACCGTGAGCTACGGGAACGGAGCCAGCTTCCCTCAGCTGACGGCCCAGCGTGAGATGGGCCACGGTCAGCAGCAGAGCCAGAGGTTAGTGGGCCCCCCAACCCCGGGAGGAATAAATGCTCACGGCTGGATACCGCAGAGGCTTTGCGGGCTGTGTGTTACAGAGCATCACTGTGGGCAAGGTCACTCACGTGCCCACTTATAAATCAGAGAATGACGCACCCTTGGAAGAGTTATCAGCAGCAACTTTCGCCTTCAAAGAAAAATGGGTCCCTGCAGACTGATCTTCGCTTGTGCTACCTCGAGCTGAAGATCCTTCCCCGGCCTTCAGCTCTACAGATGTGTTCAATATCTTGGTAGAAACCACAGAATGAGCACAGCAAGAAGTGAAAAGTCATTCTTCATTAGGCATCAAATCAACGGAGGGGGTTGAAGCAGAGCCCGGAAAAGAGATGCCTCCCCATATTTCCACGGATTGCCGAGAGCAGGGGGCTTCTCTATCCAGACAGGCCGGCTCTTTGCAGCGGTCGCTGTTCTTGATGTTGACATCTGGATAAAACTCCCCTTCATGCAGAGCTCAGCGTGTGTACAGACCACCGAGAGGTCCCCTTCGTTAGACTCACGGGAGAGGGGTGGCAGTGTCTGGCTTCCCTAATTTCAGTGTGAATCAGAAGCACAGATATGCATCTGGCAGGACGAACTCATGAATCCAAGTCTGTCACTCTGGCAGTCATAGGTTTATCGGCCTCCTGAGCCTGAGTTCCCAAACTCCTAACACACAGAGACACATAAAAGTACTCTGTTCTACCTTTTGAAATATTATGCGGACCAGAAAACACGGCAGGGCTTACAAGATCAACACCAAGCTTCCGGCTCTACCCTGACCATGATTGAATGGGGCCTCGGGAGCAACTTCATGAATGTTCTCTGGTCATTCAAGGTCTGCCATCAATCAGTGTCGGCCAGTGTACTTCCTGAAAGGGAGTCTTGTCTCTCAGAGATTAATTTATAGGTGGGTTTCCCCTCCTATAAATTTCCCCTCCCTCTTCTTGACTCGTCTCAACTGAGTCTCTGACCCAAGAACGATGGACATGCACGATTATGTGCCTTTGGGTGGGGAGACCCCTCGAGTTGGTTCCTGGTCCTGTGGGCCCCCAGGGCCTGCCCTCACAGATGCCCCTGTCTCTCAGGCCTTGGCGTGAGCATCCAGAAAGACCGCCAGCCTGGCTCTGCAAAGGGAAACCATTGTGAGCCTCTGCCCGATGCAGGACAGGAACAGAGAGAGGAATTCAGGGACAGCAGCTGGGGGGTGGGAGGACATCCACACAGCCCACCCTCTCCTTAGTGCTTCCCTGGGGTCTCAGGAGGAGACAGTGATTTTTAAACGAGCATTCACGAGGGGGTGAGCCAACACAGAGAGAGACTCAGTGGGATCCACGCAAATAAAGCTTGCTTTCTTTCCAAGTGCACTGGGTACGTCATTTTTCTTGTTAAGACTGCTGTGATTCAAGCCCAGGCCTCTGGCTGGGTTCTAAAACCCAATTCTGGAGGAACACAGGATTTATTAACACTTGATATATTATACAAGCTCTAGAAAGAAAGAGTTGCCATGAGACAACTGCACCTTCGCAAAATTTGATTTTTAAATTGGGGAGCAAAAGGTTCGCAGTGCACAAGCTAACTGTGAAGTCTCAGTCACTGGAAATTACAAACAAACAAAGCCCACCAAGATTAAGGAATACAGACACTGAAAATGCCTACCCAGCAGGTGCTTGTGGTTGAAGTAAGAGAGTCTACCTCTAATACTCCTTCCCCATGAGCAGCGGTTCTCAGTGCGTGGTCTCCGGACCAGCACCCTCAGCCTCACTGGGGAGTTTGTAGCTTGTTTTTAAAATGCTGATTCTCAGGCCTCTTCCCGGACCCACTGAATCAGAAACTCGTCTGGGTTGTCACAAGCCCTCCTCGGGATTCTGATGTGTGCTCAGGTTTGAGACCGACACGTTCATGAGATACAATCAGCCTCCCCAGGGACACAGGAAATGGCTGTCCTTCCCAGAGATCTAGTCCTTGCTGCCCCAGGGCGTCTACATAACAGGCTATCTGCGCCCCTGTGCACCAAGGTCGCTAGTTCCTGGCACGTACCAGCCTCGGGAAGATACTGAAAAGCATGCATCGCTTTCCCATGTCCTTGACTGAGTCCACTAAGCCCACGCCCCTGCCATCCACAGCTCACCTACTAAGCCATTCGGGTCCAGCTGCACCCACAGCCTGAAACCAATTTCTGTATCAATAAAGAAAACCTAAGTCATGCCGTGCTGACAAATCACCTGCAAACTCCCCTCCCGTGACAGGATAATGGTAAATCTGTGTTCCTGACAGCCCTGGAATGTAGGTTGGTGAGGACACTCTGCTCCACGCAGTCCCCAGGGGTCCCCGGCGGCGCTAAGTCCGTCTGGACACTTGTTTCCAGGAACAAGATGGGAGAAGGGGACACAGCAGCAGACTGGCTTTTCAAGCTCCCACCTGCAACGGACACGTCACTTCTCGCTAATGTTCCGCTGCCAACAAAATCACACAGCCAAGCCTGACTTCAGAAGTAGGCAGGGAGTACCCGGAAAAAGAACCGGAACATCTGAGAACAGCCCAAATGATTACTACCCAAGGTTATGGGTGGACCACAACACCCATCGTGTGCAAAGCTCTGTATCAATGTTAAAGAAATGGTGGGACCCAGAGTTTCCAGGTTTAGGTTCACTATCGTTTTATTCCTGCTCACTTTTTTTTTTTTTTAAATAAGCTCTATGCCCAACGTGGGGCTCAAACCCATGACCTTGAGATCGAGAGTCTCATGCTCTACCGACTGAGCCAGCCATTCGCCCCCATTCCTGTTCACCTTCAAATCTACAAAACCGACACCCTCCCACCTAAGATCTTTTTTATTCAAATTTTTCAAATTAAAAAAAAAAATTTTTTTTTTTGAGACAGTGTGCACATGCGTGAGTGGGTGGGGGGGTGGTAGAAGCAGAGGGAGAGGGAAAGAGACTCTTAAGCAGGCTCCATGCTCAGCACAAAGCCCAACCTGGGGCTTGATCTCAGCACCCTGAGATCACCACCCCAGCAGAAATCAGGAGTCAGATATTTAACCAACTGAGCCACCCAGGGGCCCTCACATTTTTTTAAATTAAAAAAAAAAAATTGAAATTAACATATGCACACACAGAAGTACACAAATTGTGAGTATACGGCCTGTTGAATTATCATAAAGGGAACATAAGAGTGTAGCTACTTCCAGGCTAAGAAGCAAACCATTCCTGGGGGATCGCCAGCCTCTAGGAGGCTCCCTCCCAGGAACCTCCCCGCTCCCTCGTAGTAACACTCTCCTGACTTTCAATGCCACTCTCCAAGGATGTTTTTACCCTCATTCATTCAACTAGTATTGGTCAGCCCGGCACCTGAACTTCTCGTCCTTTCGGAAGACTGGCTTTTCGGGGTGGTGGCGGCATATTTCTAGGTAGGATTGAGGGACCCAATCTAATCAGTGACTGTTATCTTTATTATCTGTTTGTTTGAGCACATCAGTTTCATTGCAGAGCAGGTGGATCTGAGCCAGAATCTCTCTGCTGCCCAACATGTGAGAAATCAGTGGCCACCTGGCTGGCCCTGGGTGTGGAGCCGCCCGACCAGTCTGGTGGCAAAGCAGTCCCTGCCTGCCTGCGCTCAGGGCCCTCCCTCTCTGCCACACAGCCTCACCCCTGCAGGTGGTTCCAGTGCTGGGCAAACTGGATCTTTCTGGGTTGGGGGTAGGGAACAGGTGTAAAACCTGTTTTGGCTCAAAAATAAGACGGGCATTTGGTCTTCAGATTATTTCTTATGCAACTTCCATGACCTGAAAAGGAGGCATATAGTTCCCATCCCCGCGCCTCTTAAATCATCAAAAGATCTTCGTGGAGAGGCATGGGGCAGCTGGTTTTCTAAAACACCAGCTCCGCCCCAAAATGTCCTCAAAATCCGACCTATCTGTACCAGCATGTGCCCAGAAAACATGACATTTTGCTTTCTAGCTTCTCGGCAAAATCCTTGCGGGCATTCAGGCAGGGTAGCTCAGGGACGAGTGCGAATTCCACCTTTCACGCTCCAAGAGCTGATTGTGACTTCCCAGCTCCCGGCCCGGGAAACAGCCAGTGACTTCGGCAGGGAGGGAGGGAGAGCGAGTATGAGCGGTCCTGGAACAGGGTGGCCACTGGCTCAGCCACATCCTTTTGTGGTAATCATCCTCAGCAAAATGGACTGAAAAGATATTCTTACGACTGGCTGGCTTCTAAATCACAGCCATGCTGAGTAACAACAGAGCAAATATATGATTGGTAATTTCCTTATGGCAGAACATAGAACAATCTCTGGCTGAGGCCCAGGGCCTAAAAAGAATTTTCTTTCAGTAGAAAAGAAAACAGCATGCTGCCTTTATTCCAAAGCCAAGGCAGTGGGTCGTGGCCTTCTTCCTGCGCAGAAACGGTCCTGCTTTTCCAGGAAGAGGGAAAGGGATAGATGGGCTTAGGAAAACACTGCAGAGCTGCCAGCTCAATCGCCGTCCCTCACATACCGCCCTCCCCCCCCCCCCCCCCAGACCACGGCTGCCGTGGCTCCTGGCCTTCTAGAACGGACTGCTCCAGAGTTGCAGAAATGCCACCAAACAAGGGCAAACACCACGCAGAGGCCATGTTGGCTCCTCGTACACCCAAGATAAAAGACTAGGCGTCATGTTTCTTGTTTTGTTCCGGCTCTCTCCAACTCCCCTGACTTGTTTGTTAAAGAACTATGGTAGTGCCCCGTAATTTGGGAGTAAAACTATTCTCAGCGTGGACCAGAGGCCGCACTGAGAAACATCGGGGTGCTGCTCCTCAGGGTGGGGCCCACAACTGGCATTTCCCCCCAGCTCCCACCATCAGTTCTTACACATGCAGTGAAGGCAGAAGTTCCCACAAAAGCATCATGAAAATCAAACTCTCTGCTTGCAGCCGGCTCCCGGCAGCAAAGAACCCATTAGGACGGGATCCCATCTGCGAGGGTTAGCCCGTTACCTGCAGTATTTCAGGGCCACAAAAGTCGGGGTAAGACTGTTCCCCTTAGAGTATGGGCAACTTACACACAACACTTGGTTTATCAGGGGGACTCGTCTAGACAGCACGCTCCTGGCACCCTCCTCAACCCCCGCCACCCCCCGCACAGGGTTTAGTCCATTATTTAATGTCACAATGGCGGCAGGATGAGTCATGTTTCACTTTCTTAACGTTAAAGTCTCAAAGTTCCCACTGCTCTATTCCTTCTGTCTGGGGGAGGATACTGGCCTTCGGCTTCTAGTTTTCCAGGGCAAGGCTGTCTGAAAAAAGAGGCTGCCTGTCACTTAAAGGTTTAGGCTTCTCTTCACGTCAGCCAGAAAACAGAATCAGGAGTCTCCAGCCCCACGCCAGCCTCATTCGGGGGCCTTGCCCGAGTATCCGGCCACAAATCCCTTTATGGACTCGCGCCTCAATAAGCAGCAGCTGAACCAATGGGGGAGAATCAGGCTGGTTTATATAATGTGCCAAGATCCCAAGATAAAACGCCTTCTAAGTGCCCAGTGTTAGCAGCATAAACAAGGCCTACGCCGGCAAACCCAGAAGCTCGGTACGGATTGAACAAGACCTCACTCCATGATAAAATCGCTCGTTCGGTTTTGTAAAATTAAGCACAAGAAATCTGAAATGGAGCACAAAGGTGTAGGAATTCATTTTCTCGTGCACTGACATCACGAATGCCTTCCTTTTCAAACAGAACCAAACTCCCAGGACCTCAAACCACCTGAGAGATCCTCCCTGCTCCAAAGGCATGCCATGCCATCAAGGCGCAGAAAACTCACAGACCTACTTTGCTTCAAACACAACGCTCTTCTGCCTTAATTTATTGTGTGTCAGGTCTGAAGGAGCCTGAAAAACTACGTGAACTGAAATTGAGCCCTGACCCCAGAGCTAGCGGATCTGTCCTGGGACAGGCAAAGGTGCTCATGCCCCCAGGTGGCTGGGACCTCGCTTTCATGGTTCAAGGAAGAGGACAGCCCTTCTGCCCCAGATGTCCCGCCATGGGCCTGGGCCTGGGACTGGGTGGGTGGGTGGGTGGGGGGGACAGTTCTTACCACCCCAAGTTGGCCTCAATTTCGAGCACCGCTTTTTACAGCTCCTCTGAGTTCTTCTCTAAATGACACATTCCTCCCAGCCCGTGAAACAAGCCTTCTAGGAAAGGGTGATACACACCTGCTGGAAAAAAATCTATCCTCTGGTCTCTTTTTTGAGCTCAGCAGCGCATGAACAGACGACAGGAAGGAAAGGAAAGAGGAACAGAGAAAGGTGTGAGAAAAGCCTCCGTGATATTTCTCCCATGCACCTGGCTCTCGCAAACAGCCCGGGTTAAAATTCACCACCAGTGACCGTGCGCAAACACCTCATTTGCATTTTGGCTGCCATGCTTCTTCATTTGAATGAGGTGGACTCAGTCCCCCTTACTTTGTAAAAGGGACCGCAAGGCAGGTGCTGTCACCCAGCAGGTGCACCCGAAACGAGGGCCAGAGGCCAGTGCCCTGCACCTGAGAAGAGCTCACTCGTTGCCTCCGCTTGGAGATTACCTGTCTGATGAGCTGCTTGCCTAATAAGGTCTTAAATTTTCGATGCCTGACGGGCAACCTGAATACCGAGCAGAGCTGTGCGAACAGAGTCGTGCTCTCCTCTCGGCCAAGTGCAAGACCAGCGGGCCGGCTCTCCCCGCCTGTGCAGTCCATCAGCCCAGCTTCCAGGGCCGTAAGTCAACAGGGCCGGGCAGACAGCTGTCGGAGACAGAGCGGGGACACGCACAAGAGCTTAATGAAATTTTATTTTGAAAATATGGCAAGAGTCTAAGGCACTTCAAACATTTAAATACATATAAGAGCAAAGTAAATGTGACACGGTAGAAAGGGATCCATAAATACGTGGAGAACTACACTGTGTTTCCCTAGAGGCAAATATATTGCCAACTCCTCTGACGAGATCCAACCTCTGCCATTGGATGCGGACTTGGGCGATGATTAATAAAAACATGGCAACGTTACACGTAGTTCCTCCTGTCTCAATGGAATATAAAAGTTGAAAATACTGTGTCCATTTTATATAGATACCTTTTATATAAAAAGTCATATAATACATCCACCTAGATTAACCCAACTGAAAAGACTTCCTTTCGTAAGTTTTCTACTTTTTGAGAGTTCCGTTTTTGATTTTTAAACCAGAAACCTTCCAGGCCCAAGCCCAAGGTGCTGATGACCAGTCATCACCACTGCCTTACTTGAGAAGAGTAAACACACACACACACACAAATCAACAAAACCGTCCTGGAATGGAATCGTCAGAGAGCTTTCCGATGGCTCCACATTAAGTCAATATAAATACTTGTGGAACATTTTAAAAATGTCAAGCCAGTGAGAAGCTGATGCTTCCCGGCAGTGGCAAGGTGGGGAGAGACTAGGACTGTACATAACGGAGCAGAGACTCGACAGCCACAGAGCCGGGGGTAAGCACGCCCAGCGCAGAGGGAAGACAGCCAGGAGGGAGGCAGCGTGTGCCCGGCGGCCAGCTCCCGCTGGCTCGGCTTCCACCACGCAGCTCCAGGCGCCAGGCCTCCCGTTCTGCGTGCTGGTGAGCTCAGGCACAATACAAATACATTCAGTGTCTGTCACCCCAACAGGAACAAGCAGCAGCTTAATGGTGGCATGTAAATGGACGGCTATTTGCATCTATCAATCAAATGAACTTCGGTGGGTGGGACCAGGAGAGGTCTTCCTTCCAAGCCTAGGGGTGCCCTAGAGACCAGGAGAGGAGAAAAAAATGGGGGGTTAACAAGTGACCTCAGGCAGATGCATCCTCTGTGACCGAGGAACTCCGTCCAGCACAGCCGACAACCACCTGTCCGCGGAGCACGGACCCCTGGGACACGGGATACAGACCCAGTCTGCTGCGCCGTCCTGGGAAGTCAGCGTCCTGCTAAGGGCAGACTCGTGGACCACAGGTTGCTGCTCACTGTGTGCCTTAGGAAAAACGCCAGGGACGTAGCAGTATGTATGCATGGGCGCCCCAGGTGCCATTTGGGTAATTCTGCCCAGAACTAAACCCTTCATGTATGTGAGCATCTGTCTCCTGAGGACGAGCAGGGGTCAGCTCTCCCGGCCGCCTGCGGGGGCAAAAGTCACGATTCCTAAAGCTGCAGACTAACACTCCCCATTTCAGAAGCCTCAGAAAACCTGCGTCTCCTGTCAACTCCCTGAAGAAGGGGGCCCACCGGTCTGGTGGGCTTGAGCCTGTTCATAAACGCCAAATGCACAACACTGACCGGAGACTGGGCCTTGGCGAAGTTGACGTGGGCGTACAGAAGAACCGCGATGTCCTTGTGTCCCGCCTCCAGGGCTATCGAGAGCGCGGTGCTGCCGTCCTAAAGAGAACATGGAAAAGAACAAGCCAGGGTGGGTTTCTCAAACTTCCAGACAGCCGAAAGGGAGCAAAACAAATACTCTCCAAGAACTGTTACGGTTCCCCAAATCGGTTCAGGCCTTCGGGAGACTTTTCTGGACCTCTGAGGGCGAAGCCCTGAGGCTACCATGAGGCGCCGCGCCCACCGGAGTGGAGTCCCGGCCGGAGGACAGTCACCTCATCCCCACTGTGCCTCCCAGTGGTTAGTGTGGAGGTGCAGGCCCCGTGCACCCTCAACATAGGCTGCCCGCCACGGACTCACCCCACTACTCTTTGCACCAGCTGTGGGCCGTAGAGGAAGATGGGGTAGAAACCTAAGCATCTATGTTTCTTATCTTTATGGTGAGCAAGCAGTACCACAGGGTGTTTGGATACCCTGCCACCTGCCAACGATCTTTTAACGTTGCCCTTGGGGAGGGAGCCGATCCTCCGGCCCTAAGCGCCCCTATCGCCCGCTACGAACACCATCCATGCACAGTCACCGAATCCTGCTGCCTTGCACAAACACATAGTGTGAAAATCCGAGGGGAAATACTAAATACGGGGAAGTCAGAGTTTCCAGGTACGTGTTTGGCTTCCATGAACTTGCAGGGCTTCGGATGCATGTCAAGGAGGGAGAAGGCCAAACCCAGCACCATTTACTTTTTGTCTGGTCTTGGAATAGGATGCCCTTCTGGTCACTGGCAGCAGGAAACAATTCTCTTGTGGTCGGCGTCTTAGGGTCCTTCCCTCCCACTCGGAATTCTCGGAGGGACTTGCCCTCCCTCTCCCCTCCTCCTTCCTTCCTCCCACCTTCCTGAGGTGACCAGCATTTCTGGAAGCTGCTTGTGGCTCTGGGGCCTCTTATGACTACATCTACGGGCTATTCTTGGCTAAGAGAGAGAAGTAAAAGCAAACAAACAAAAATCAAGACACAGGCCACACACACTGCTCTTGAGGAAGGGTAAGTTGGAAGCACTCCTTCTGCTCCTGCCGAAGTTAGAGGCATGGTGGAGAGTTGCAGATTCTTCACCGCCGGAGAGGCGTCTGCCACGTGGAAGCCCACCATCGACCCCCTGGTCCTGGGCACGAGTAAACGCCTGCACTGGTTTGCTCTTCCTGCTGGCCTGAGCCCACCGGGATCTGACGCTTAGTGCCCAAAAAGTACATTTTCCTTCTAACTTTTTAGTGTTTTGAGCTGAAGGAAGCTCTGGGCCAAACCCGTGCTCTGCGGAGATAAACTTTCCAAAGCAGAACCAACCCAACCTGTCCTCTGTGACCTTTGCACTTTAAACCACAGCGCCAACCAAATATTAGTTCCTGTGCCTTCACCTACTGGCATTCCTCCCCTCTGGCCTGGAGACATGCAGAGGCAGCTGCTTCCCTTACAATGTTTCCCAGGCGAGGGGTTATCTGCAACAGGGACAGCTTGGGAAGGGGGAGAGCAGATCAGGGTTACGATGATGGAATAGCCAAGGCAGGAGCAGGGAGATGTGCTCGAAGGTGTCAGATGGCCTGGAGGGCCGGGCTGATGAGATACACGAGTGATTCCCTCTGAGGGGCCCCAGTGAGGGCCCACTTGCCCTCATTTCGGGGGTGGGGACAGCTGGCTCTAGTCATCTAGTAGTTCAGGCCCAGAACAGCTAGCAACCCAGCTTTCCCAACGCTCCGGGGACCCGGTCCTCTCTTCTTCGTGGACCTGCAAGATGCCTGCGCTCAGTCTGCTGTGGGCGTCAGTCTGTGCTTTCCACGGCTGTGCTGGCTCTGCGACGAGCTCATCGCCCTCCTCCTGCAATGAGCGTGGGCGCTGAGGCCTCATCGGCCTGCCTTTGGCTCTAGTTCCTGGGAGCGTGAGCTTGCACATAGGCAACGCTGCCATGCTGGGCCGGGAAGGGCGGCGGCCCGGACCACAGCACGAGGTCCCCAGCGAGCAGCGCGGAGAACGTGCCCTTTCCCCTCTGCCAAGGGGCCCGGCAGACCCCCGGCAGGCAGGCCCCGCGGAGGCTGCGTCGCTCACTTACGTTGTCCTCCAGGTGGCCGTTGCAGCCCGGCTGGGCCAGCAGCAGCTTGACGATCTCTGCGTGCCCGTGCTCGCTGGCACACATGAGCGCCGTGGAGCCCTCGTCGTCTTGGATGTTGACGTCAGCCCCACAGGCCAGCAGGCCCTTCACCATGTCGATTCGCCCGTGGCTGACGGCCAGCATGAGGGCCGTCTGACCCGCCTGTGGGGAGGAGTGGCAGGGCCCGTCAGCGGCACGGCACAGACCGGCCAGGGGCGGCCTGCCCGGGGCGGGGGTGCGAGGTGGGGGGACGGCAGGATGACAGAGGGGACAAAGCAGATGTGGAACGAGTCTGGGGTTGGGTGGTGGCCGGCACGGAGAAACAGTTTCTTGTTCTGAGCGCCGCCGAGCTAAGTAAGATCATCAAGTAATGCGTCAGTGTTCCCCTGGTGCTGGGAGGACCTGTCCCCTTAGAGCGAGGAGCCGGGAAGGTCAAAGGTGCTTAGAAGTCCAACCAGCCCGGGGCCGCTGTGTGGCCGGCATGACGACACTACACTGCGGAGACAGGAACGAGCCACCGCCGGGCAGACGGCGGGCACTCCCGGGCCCTCCAAGGCGGGCTACCTACAGGGCAGGCGCACCCCGCTCTGGACAGAGGCAGTGCGCGAGGCCAAGGAGGGGGACGCCCGCCAGGTGACTGTGAAGCTGCTACTTCAACAGCAGGCCTGGTCAGCCAGGGCGGCCGGGCAGCCATGGGGACGCGGGGCACATGCTCAGGGTGCAGGCCGGGCGCGGACCCGGGCGGCAAGTGCGCTTACCTGGCTGGCTTTGGCGTTCACATCCCCGCTGCCGAAGAGTTCTTCCACGACGCGCATGTCCTTCTCGGCTTCCACGGCGGCCAGGGCTGCCAGCATGATGGGGGTGTAGCCCGCCTTGTTCTGGTGATCCACGTTGCACACGTCTGCGGAGACATGAGTCTCGTCAGGGAGCAGCCTTCCTACAGCGACCCTTCTCGCGTGGACCAAAGGAACAGGGCTGGGAGGAAGCCTGTGAAACGGCCCCCGGGGCTCCACGTCCCAGAGTGACTCGCAAGGAACTGCCAGAGACGTTTTCATACTCAATGAAAGGATAAAAGGTTTTGTGTCGTGTGAGGCCAGGAGCAGCAGAAGCGAGAGTGAGCCTTCACGGCACCTCCTATTCGCAACTGGTGGCTCGACTGCAACAGCCTGGAGCGCTTCAGAGAGTCCACATAATGTGGGATGTGGACACTCGTCTGTGTTTGGGGGATCGTGATTATGGAACGAAGGAGGGAGGCAGGGAGAGCTACGAATATGACGGATCTGTAAAGGCTTGTGGAGAGAACACGATGGCATCACCCACTCAGAGATCACGACTCATTTGGAGACCCTAAGTTTGCTCCTCTGACTTGCTTGGGGCCTTGGAAGCCCAATTCCAATCCCATGACACCTAGCTGAGCTGTTCTCGGAACTGTGGTCTGAGAGCAAATGCAGTGAGAAACTGCCAAGGACTAACAGACACAACAGGCCAGACGTTTTCTATTCCTGTAATTCTTAAGGAGGCATTGGGGGCTCAGCGATCCTTTTTAAATTCCTTTAGTACTTTCTAATAAAATGAAAGGAATGCACAGTGCAGGAAAGAAGCTTTCATGTGTGACCATATATAGTTAAAACGTTCAGGATGTTTCTACCGTAAGGAGTGAGAAGATACCGTGCAAACTTGCCTGACGCTCAAAAATAACTGCACAGTAGGGACATGATGGCATTTACACAAAGGGCACGTTTTTTAACATAGAAAAGGAGAAAGAAAAAGCTGTGTGATGGAGAAGCATGTGAACCAACGAGCTCTCTGAGGCTCCTCATCATCTGTGATGTTCAGTCGTTCACAGAGGATGCAGTCACTACGTTCACCCACACACTGGACGGAGCCCCAGCGTCAGCCTATAACGGTGGGCAGTAGAGGGTCAGGTATATCCAGTAGGGTGATTAACCAAAACCCTTTAATTTACCAAAACCATTTAATTTACCAAAATATCTTGTCCACACAAATTTTCCAGAAGTAGATTAAATCGTTACTTTCAAGAGTAATCGGAAATCTTGTTTTTGGCTCTTCTGGATATTATCCACTTCTCTGTTTAAACAACAATGTGGGGGCGCATCTGGGTGGCTCAGTCAGTTAAGTGTCTGCCTTCAGCTCAGGTCATGTTCTCAGGGTCCTGGGATCGAGTCCCACATCGGGGTCCCTGCTCCATGGGAAGCCTGCTTCTCCCTCTCCCTGAAGCTTGTGCGCGCTCTCTCTCTCTCTCAAATAAATAAATAAAATCTTTTTTAAAAAAAAATAAACCACAACGTGGGCTGACAGTATCACCAGCTCTGTTTCCAGTCTGGAAAGTCTAAAGGGAAGGAGGCTTGGAATTCCTTCCTCTAAGATGGAAGCAGTTTTAGCCTAACATAGTCCCGTCTGCCGGGAATAAGCCAACTTAGAAAAGGGGGTAAATCTTGCTCGGTTACTGCTCTGCATTAATCTAACTTCCCCAAAACGGAGTAGAAGAAATTAGTGAGCTGCACCAAGAAGCAGTATGGGGAAACCTGACAATTTTACTGCATATGCTAAACCAAAGGTTCACATTGTGTGCTCGCTAATTTAAGACCGAGGTACTATAAATTCTGTTATCGGTCACATACTACAAGTAAAAATATGTCTTTCAAAAATAAATCAGAGTGGGCGCCTGGGTGGCTCAGTCGGTTGGGCGACTGCCTTCGGCTCAGGTCATGATCCTGGAGTCCCGGGATCGAGTCCCGCATCGGGCTCCCTGCTCGGCGGGGAGTCTGCTTCTCCCTCTGACCCTCCCCCCTCTCAAGCTCTCTCTCTCTCTCATTCTCTCAAATAAATAAATAAAATCTTTAGGGCGCCTGGGTGGCTCAGTCGGTTGGGCGACTGCCTTCGGCTCAGGTCATGATCCCGGAGTCCCTGGATCGAGTCCCGCTTCGGGCTCCCTGCTCGGCGGGGAGTCTGCTTCTCCCTCTGACCCTCCCCCCCTCATGCTCTCTCTCTCTCAAATAAATAAATAAAATCTTAAAAAAAAGGGGGCGCCTGGGTGGCTCAGTTGGTTGAGCGACTGCCTTCGGCTCAGGTCATGATCCTGGAGTCCCGGGATCGAGTCCCGCGTCGGGCTCCCTGCTCGGCGGGGGGTCTGCTTGTCCCTCTGCCCCTCCCCCCTCTCATGCTCTCTCTCTCTCTCATTCTCTCAAATAAATAAATAAAATCTTTAGGGCGCCTGGGTGGCTCAGTTGGTTAAGCGACTGCCTTCGGCTCAGGTCATGATCCTGGAGTCCCTGGATGGAGTCCCGCATCGGGCTCCCTGCTCAGCAGGGAGTCTGCTTCTCCCTCTGACCCTCCCCCCCTCATGCTCTCTCTCTCTCAAATAAATAAATAAAATCTTAAAAAAAAGGGGGCGCCTGGGTGGCTCAGTTGGTTGAGCGACTGCCTTCGGCTCAGGTCATGATCCTGGAGTCCCGGGATCGAGTCCCGCGTCGGGCTCCCTGCTCGGCGGGGGGTCTGCTTGTCCCTCTGCCCCTCCCCCCTCTCATGCTCTCTCTCTCTCTCATTCTCTCAAATAAATAAATAAAATCTTTAGGGCGCCTGGGTGGCTCAGTTGGTTAAGCGACTGCCTTCGGCTCAGGTCATGATCCTGGAGTCCCTGGATGGAGTCCCGCATCGGGCTCCCTGCTCAGCAGGGAGTCTGCTTCTCCCTCTGACCCTCCCCCCCTCATGCTCTCTCTCTCTCAAATAAATAAATAAAATCTTAAAAAAAAGGGGGCGCCTGGGTGGCTCAGTTGGTTGAGCGACTGCCTTCGGCTCAGGTCATGATCCTGGAGTCCCAGGATCGAGTCCCGCGTCGGGCTCCCTGCTCGGCGGGGGGTCTGCTTGTCCCTCTGCCCCTCCCCCCTCTCATGCTCTCTCTGTCTCATTCTGTCTCAAATAAATAAATAAAATCTTTAAAAATCAATCAATCAATCAATCAATCAATCGGAGCGACTCGGGGACTGTCTGTACCACTGGGCTACTGTATTTGAACAAAAAGCGGGCAGTTCGCCATGTCCCACGGGGGCCCTTCCCTGTCGCACACCCTCGCTTCGTGTACCGGACCCGCAGTGGCTAGATTCGGGGACGGGATGTCCCAGTTGCGGACAAGCGTTTTCCCTGTTCTCGCTACTGCGGCTCGGACACGGGAACGACACTTCCGTCTCTCTACGCGCAGCCCCCGGCCACAGGGGCTCCTTCGGTGGGAACCGTTACGGTTCTACTACGAGTCGTCGCAGCGGCAGCCTGCGGCCGGCGAAGCGGACGCGGGTCCCGGCAGCAGCACCCGGTCCGGCCCGCCAGCGTGACGCAGCTCGGGCGGGACCGCGCGCGCGCTCCTCACCGGGGAGACACGGCGCCCGAGCGCAGGCGCGCCGCAGCGAGCGCAGCCGCGCAGCCGCGCAGCCTCCTTCCGGACGGACCTGGCGGCGTCCGGGCCAGGCGTCCCCCCGGGGCTCAAGACGGGCACGGCGGCCAGGGCGCGTGGAAGAGCAGGGGCGGAGGCCCGGGGCGGTGCCCGCACAGGGGAGCGCGGCGGCCGGCCTCTCCGAGCGGGGGCGCCGCCCGAGCGCGGTCAGGGCAGGGGCCGGGCGCACGTACCCGCGTCCAGGAGCAGCTGCACGATCTCGAAGTTGGAGTGGGACACGCTGTAGTGGAGGGCCGTGTTGCCGTTGCCGTCCGCCATGTTGATGACGTGGCGGAGGACCTCCGGGGAGACGGCCTCGAACGCCGCCAGGTAGTCGCCCACCGCGGCCGCGCTGGCTGACTTCTGACTGGACACGCGGAACCACTCGTGCTGCAGGGTGTTCAGGCAGAACCGCTGCCAAGACAGCGGCAAGTGGCCGTTAGTTCTGCTACGTATGGCCCAGCTGAAAGCCCGAGAAACGAGGCCTCTTATAGGCGGCGTACGCAGCGAGAAGGGGCTCTCAGAGAACGAGGCATGGGACCCGGAGCCCTAAGAGGAGCCTCAGACTCCTCCGGACTTTGAACCACGGACGTTTCTAACTTCCGTAAAAGAGTCCGCGCAGCGCTGTTCAGGGGCTCTACTGCAAGGATCCAATCCTGGCTCCGCTACTTGTGAGCTGTGCTCTCCTGGGGAAGAGACTTACTCCGGGCCTCGGTTTGCTCATCTGCAAAATGGGGGTAATAAAAATACCTTTTCCCCACAGTGCTTGTGATGAGGACAAATGAGGCAATACACATAAAAACACGTAGGCCTGGGGCGCCTGGGTGGCTCAGTTGGTTAAGAGACTGCCTTCGGCTCGGGTCATGATGCCGGGGTCCTGGGATCGAGTCCCGCATCGGGCTCCCGGCTCAGCGGGGAGCCTGCTTCTCCCTCTGACCCTATCCCCTCTCATGCTGTTTCTAAAAAAAAAAAACAAAACAAAACACGTAGGCCTGGCTTCACTGATTCTTGAACTGTTAACATTAAGTAATTATGCTAGCCCTGCATGTGATTTTCAGAGTACTCAGGACAGAAGAAATTACTTCACCCACACTGAATTTATGCTGCTTTCTTCCTATCCAGACCACCCTTAACTCCTTCAACATCCCCACCGCACTGGGCTGAAAGGCCATGAGGGTGTAGCCAGCCCCATTCCCACTCCAATCCCAAAGACAAACATTCAACCATGGAAAGGGATTAAAAAGCAGGTTCGAAACAAATTACATTTCTCATTTAGGATCATCTGCATCTGACCAGGAGCCCCGTGCATGCCTTCCCTCAGGCTGTGGGCACAGGAACATGGGCCTTATTTCAGGAGCTACCAAGTCAAACCCGGACCATGAGAAGTTCAAGGCAGACTGCCCATGACCACCGCTGGTGATGGGAGGAACTAGAATGCTTCTTCCGTGAGCCCTTTTTACACGAGTTTACCGTTCATCTGTGCTTTGCTTACTCCTGAAAAGTTTAGAAATAGACCAAAGACAGACGGAAAGCCTACGTCAACAGCACCAGAACCCAAGAGGTCCCCTTTCTACAGAGAAGTGGGAGCTGGAATTGTACTGGCTTCTGCATCTTTATCGTCCAGCTACTGATGATTTGGTTTTAGCCCATTCAATCACATTCTGCGGCACTTGATGAAAAGGGTCCTGGGGTGGGAAAAAAATTCATCTAATGCTTTCTTCTGCTCATTCTTCTACATATTCAGGTTTCTATCTCTCTGGAGCCCGTCCTCACACGGAGAGAGGGGAATCTGTGTCGTTTGGGTGTTGAACTCTGTTACTGCCGTGTATGTGGCGTCCGGTTATGGTTACCGGCCCTGGCACTGTGATTGTTCGTGTGTGTCTACCACTTTTCACGGCGCAATTCCTTCAACGCGTTTTCGTCAAGTGAGTTCAGTTTAACCAAAAAGGAACTGACCACGGAGTGTGTGCGTGACAATATAGCTTGGCAATCTGGGGCCAGAGAAATGGATGGTCCTCCCTGAAGACCACATGACCAGGTATTTTGAGAATGGTCAAAGTATATTCTAGCTCTAAGATCTAGGGTCCAGAAGCACCAGTTTTAAGTTCAGGTTCAACCTCGTGGGAGATATTAACACTGCAGTGACATTTCATGGTTTTGCTCTCTTGGGACTGAGGCGTAGACAGAAATGTAGTTTATACTGAAGGAGTTCTGGGTCCGCCCCCGCCCCAGGCCAGGGATTTTACTTCGTATCTTCTTCTGTAAACATCACCACCGTGTGCCTTCCTCAGCTCGCTAATTTAATGTCAAGACACAGCTGGCTCTGAGAAATTTAAGTTTCTACAGCGATGGAAACAAATATGAGGCACAACCGTAATTCTAAAAAAGGATGCCGTATGATAAGGTAATACGATTCAGGAAGGATAAATAAAACATGGACCAGTACTGGAGAGGTATCACCTAGTCCCAGTACTAACGAGAAGCTAGTTAACTAGCTCTGGACAAGACTCCTCATCTTCAGGGCCTCAGTTAAAACCGAAAAGACCAGGACACGGTGGCCTCACAGGTATGCACGCCCACGCGCCTCGCGCCTGTGACAACAGTCCCAGTTCTCCCTCAGATCGTGCGTGTCGTCCACGAGGAAAACGGTGCCTTTCCGGCATAAGGGGATCCCTCAAGTCCCCTCCAGTTCTAACATTTTGGTTTCATCACTCTACAATCCCGTGAGGCCTTCTCACTCGCTGCTGACTTGGGTTATGCGGCAGAAAACTCCACGTTGAGGAGGTGCCGAGATTCAAATGCCAACGCTGGCTGATGGGAGAACCTACGTCTTCTCAGCGCGCTGAAGACAACTGTCAGCCAGAGGGCGGGTCTGACCTGGGACAGAAGCCGCACCTCAAAACTCCACCAGCCCGGGCGCCTGGGTGGCTCAGTTGGTTAAGCAACTGCCTTCGGCTCAGGTCATGATCCTGGAGTCCCGGGATCGAGTACCACGTCGGGCTCCCTGCTCGGCAGGGAGTCTGCCTCTCTCTCTGACCCTCCCCCCTCTCATGCTCTCTATCTCATTCTCTGTCTCTCAAATAAATAAAATCTTTAAAAAAAAAAAAAAAAAAACTCCACCAGCCCCATGGGGAAGAGCAACACACTTCGCCGTGGTGTCCGATTCACCGTCGCCCCAGAAATGCTCAGCTGCCCTGGGCCGTGTCCTTCCTGTCCCTGAAGCAACCACCAGCTTCACTGCTGTGAGCTTCCAAGTCTCTCAAACTGGGCACAGATGAAAAGCGCAGTGACTCCGAAGTTTAAAAATAGCGGCCGCCGGCATTCCACCCGGGAACATGACACGCACGTTCATAATTGAAAGGAATGCTGACCTCGGCCCAGAGAGGCTGCTTTTTAAAAACCCAGAGGCCAATTTTAAAAACAAAACACAAAGCACAACAACTCTGGTGGCTCTTCTCCCTGGATCACAAGGTTCTGGGAGCGGAAGCAGAAGGTGTCGAAACCTGACGACTGACTGCAATTAGCCCTCCCTCCCGTGTGCAAGTATGCGTCTCACAGAGGCTTCACTGCCGAGAAAAGTAGAGGGTGGGGGTGTCCGCTGCGGGGCCTGAGGTTAACGGGCGGTGCGAACAGGGCAACGCGAGGCTCGCTCTGCTTACACAAGCTAGAGAGAGTTCGGGGGCACGGGGTGTGGGCAACAAGAGCTCGGGGGCCGGCTAGAGACACCTTGACTTTGGTGTCCGCTCGGGTAATCTGTACAGACCGGGGACGATGTCTGGAGGGCAGACTCACCATATCCTTGCTGGTCAAAGCTTTGGGGTCATTTATATTATTTTTCAGTAAGTTGCAGGCAGACAACATCTTTTCACTTAATTCATACCTACGACAAGATAAAAGAAAGAGAGCTCACGAGTGGCCACCAAAGGAAAGTCACTTTTATTGCAAACTCAATGGCCCTTTAAAAGACAAGAGGCCCCAAGTGGACCTCAGCAGGTTCGTGGTGGGGGAAGGTGCTCGCCTGGAGGTCGGAGTGGGCTCCCCTAGGCGTCCGAGGACGTACAGAACCAATGTCTCTACCCAGAGCTCAGGCCTTTCCGTATGGGCAGCTTTCAGCTTCACCTGTTTGGCCTTTATGACATTATGGAATAACCTGTGGAACTTTTTTATTCCTTTTATTCTAAGTTCCCAAAAATGTTTCTACTCTTAAGGGGCTGAAGAGGTCAGAATTACCACAGATCCATTATGCTGACCAGCAAACCACACATCTGCACTCAGAAAATGTTTAACCCCCATGAAAATCTAAACTGAAAAATCAGATGACATACGGTAAATAAATGATAGCTCAATAAAGCTGTTTAAAAAAAAAAACCTAGATGACAAGATCCTGAGCCATGTGAAAATACTTGGAAATATAAACTAGAAACACTTACCTTGTGTTAATGCAGTTAAACTTTCATTTGCAAAATTAAACAGAAGTTTTCTGAAATGTTCTATTTATACTCCACACAGTGAAAAACCATCTTGAATTTTCCATCTGTTCTATTCTCTGTTTCATAAGCATCGATTCCACATTTGCTAGCAGTCTTTAAAATTTGCTACATAGTTAGGTACGTGTTTCAGCCAACCAGAGTGTTTATTGGGTATTTCAGCTGCTGCTTAGGAGACTTCCAAACCCATTCTTGTGGTGTTCCCTATCACTCAGTGAGCAACAAAATGCAGACATGTGACTGATTATATCATCTTTGAAGTGAATGTGATCTTCAGCTGGGGCTAAAAGACCGCTCCTTTCACACACAGCGATCCTATTAGAACAGTACTGACCTATATCAAGATGAATGGCTAATGATAAAATCTGAAATCTTAAAAGACATGTGCTGGCCACACAAAATTCTAACATTGCCTTCAAATATAAGGTGGGTTGTCGGAGCACTGAAAACTTTAACGGCACGTAATAGTTCCGTGGATGGTGGCTCCACACATAAAATTAGCTAGCAGATACATTTAAAGGAAACAAGGTGGCAGCCTGATCAGGCCCTTCTCTTTGCTATTCTGAGAGATCTAGGGGTTCTCTCCCTCCGCACCTGTATTTATTAGCATCACGACACGACGGTCGTACCTCTGAGGATGAAGTTTAGCTCTCCTTTGGGGATCGGAAAGACCCAACCAATAGTTACAATGGTGAAATCTCCTATCGGCCAGTTCTCTTGCCAAAGGCACAATGAACGTGGGAAGGGTTAGGGAGGGGAGGGGAGTGTACCACACCTCTCTCTGATTTCCACCTTCTCAGGTTCACATTCTGGAACCTGCATCTCATCTTCCACCCTGGCAGACTTGAAACCTTCAATATTAACGGCATGGTGCCCTTCCGCCATTCCCCGAGTGTCTTCATCCTCCTCTTCCTCCTCCTCTTCCTCGGGAGGGTACTCAATGACATCACACTCGTCATCTGACTCGGAGGAAGAGCTTTCATCTGAGCTGGAATCATCACTTGAAGTTGTTTCATACCTAGGTGGCAATTGGGAGTTCAGGAGATGCAAGGTGTGCCCAGAAAGACCCCGTGACCGAAACTCTTATGCAGGGAAAGCGGATGACTCCAGACATCTGACCTGTGGTTTGAGACCCTGCATTTAGAAGTTCAAAGTAAGGTCTATTTAAAAATCTGGTGGTTTCGAATGGGTTCTGGCTTAGAAGGCATAACTTGAGTTGCCAATTGGTATCATTATACTACTTGTAGGAAAAAAAAATATGTATATATAGCACCTCTGGCTTAGGATAAATCAAAGGAAATTTACTTTATGAAAGCCAGGTCCGCAGTGGTTCATTTCTTTCTGTTCCTTCTTTTTTCTTTTCCCTACATTCTTCCTATTTTGCTCCATTAATTGTTCCCATGTCATGGTGAACAGATTAGGTAAGTAATCGATAGTTCCTCTGGCACACACCCTCCAAAAACTCCTCGGCCGCACTACCCAACTAGACTTCAAAGATTCAGAAAATAGGCCCCATTAAGTTAAATCTTTATGTAATGCTTTGCCATAAATATTATCGAAACTAACCGCATTAGTGCTGTCTTGTTGAAGCCGAGGCCGTATATGGATTAATAGATTAGCTGTTCTGATTCAACTGTGGATGACAAACAGCCTTCACTATTTATCTGGCCCAGTAAGAAGGAATGAGGAGCTAACAGACATTCTATTTAGAAAGTAAAGAACTGAAGGCACAGCTGGATTACTGGTCAAGTGAAAGACCCTACAATTTTGTATGTAAGCATGGAGAGCTAGGCAAAATAACCCGTTGTGAAGGAGTGGATGACCATCACCAGCCCGTGGAGCGATGCTCTCGCCTCTTTCTGTTTGTTCCTGAGTCTGGTACAGGTAAGAACAAGTTGTCCAACTCCGTGGGACACTTGTCGCCTGCTACTTTTGTTGAAGACTACTGTTTTCAGATCAGAGGTGGGAAGATGTAAACTGCTCAGCGTCATCAGGTGTCTTTTCAAGAGTAACACATCCTTAAAGATAGCAAGAAGAGGAGAGGAGCCCAAATGCACCTTTCTGAGGGGATCTTCCGTCACCAAGATGTGGCTGAAGCCCAGCCTGGGCACCTTGAAATGGGACTTGAGGAGACAGGAGGCGAAGGAGACAGACAGACCAGGTACAGACTGACTGGTAGCATCTTTCCTTACCCTCCGTTAATGCCGACAAACTGAAGATTCTTCTTTGCTCCATTTGAATCTTTGTTGCCGTCTTTCTTCTTCATGATAGACTTCAGTGTGCTTTCATTGTTTGTACATACTGCGAAAAAGGGAATCAAGGTGAGGAAAATTAACACAATTCATACCCATGCAAGTTAAGGGACCAAGAAATCTTTCTTCATGTTCTTTTTTTTTTCTCATTCATGTAAATTTAGATCTTGGCACTTGCATATGAGAAGTTGGCACAAAATCCATTGGAAAAGATGTATGCATGTAAAGAAAATAATTTGAAGTTCTTTAAATGGGGAAAAAAATCCACCATCAGCACTTCCAAACATAACAAAAGCCCTGACAACTAGCATTTGCATCAGGCTTCACTGTTTATAAAGTGAGGTCATAACTTATTCGGGCCTCAAGAAACACGTAGGCACTAAAATAGGGATTATTACTGTTCTTTTCTTTTAGCTGAGATAATCTGGGAAGAAGTTATGCCTGCCAGACTGCGAAGGAGTGAAATGCTATTCAAAATATTTCATAATTCACAAAATCAGATGAGTTTTCTTCAGGGGACGGCACACTCCTTTCTTCAGCAATCTTTTTAAAGATGTTCTAGGCCTACCTTCCTAACACTTCTTAGGTCAATGCTTCTTCCAGGTCAACCTATGAGACACTCTGACATTAGACTGGGGTACCAGCAGTGCTGGTCCTAGAATCCTGAGGCTGAGAAGGGCTGAGTGAGGAAGGTTACCATAGAGGCCGGCGGCTATCTGGTCGTCCGTCAGGTTCACGGGGGACAGCGTGCCTTCCTGAGAGGGGAAGGCGTCCTGGCCGCCGAGGGGTCTCCCTTCCACGGTCCCCGCTGCTTGCTCAGGCGGGGCGGTCTGGGTGTGGAACGGAGCTCCTGCCTGAAGGCCTCCACACTTACAGGTGTATTCCAAACCACTGCCTGTGAGGAAGGAGACGGGGGTAGAAGCATGTGATGTTAAGACCAAAAGAAAGGGGGCGCCTGGGTGGCTCAGTTGGTTAAGCGACTGCCTTCGGCTCAGGTCATGATCCTGGAGTCCGGGGATCGAGTTCCACATCAGGCTCCCTGCTCGGCGGGGGGTCTGCTTCTCCCTCTGACCCTCCCCCCCTCTCATGTGCTCTCTCTCTCTCTCTCAAATAAATAAAATCTTTAAAAAAAAAAAGACCAAACGAAAGGGGCTAAACTTGTTTTTTTTTTTTAATTTTCCAACTCATCATTTTCTTAAGTGCTTTTCTCCCTGTGTTTTCCTTTTGCATATATGGCTTACTATGGAAGCCACCCAGACTCAAACCCCAAGGCCTTCTTGACCCTCCACCTTCCCTTTATCACCACATCTGGGTCCGCCCAGACCTCTCCTTCCACCTCCTTCTCTTCCCTCTGCCCCGGCTGCTACCATCCGGGTCCGTTCGGGTGGGGCTGGCAGCATAGCATCCTGACCGTCCTCTTCCTTTACCACGGCCCCTCACACACGCAGTTGATGAGCAAAACTCCAGCCCCTCCAATCCCATCGGCACTCTGGCTACAACGAATCTGAGCAAAGCTAAAAAACACTCCCCTCTGCTCAGGAAACGCAGTCCACGATGCTTAGCCACATAGTCTAGACCACCCACAGCCTGACACATCTCATTACGTCTCCACCTTTATCTCCCACCACGTCTGGGGTCCCTTTTGAGGGGAGGACTGCCTCCCAGTCGCTGGGATGGTGAGAGTGGGCGTCTCTCATTTTCCGACAGTACGTCCTAGAGAACGCTCCTCTACCTGGAATGCTTCTTCCTCCCCACCTGCACAGGGTCAAGCCCTCGGTCACCCTCTTCTGAGCCTTCCCTGACCTAACTAAACATGACTTTTCTTTCCCTAACTCCCACAGCCCAGCTCTCAGACCCTCTTACAGGGACCTGGGACCGCCTAAGACTCCCTTCTAGTCTGTAAGACTCTTGAGGGCATCAAACCGTTCGAATCAACTCTCTCTCCTCACATCTACCAGATTGCTTTTGTGTCTTTCAGGTACTTAGTATCTGTTCACTGACTCAAGCAGAAGAATCCTATCAATTCATTGCATATAATTACTGTATCTAGGTGTATCACAGTATCTTGAACGTGGCTGGCAAGGGAAGATGTTTACAACGTATGGTTAAACGAGAAAAGCAGGTAATAAGACTCTACGTATGTGATCCTATTAGAAAAATATATAAAAGTTATCTGGAAGCTACGGAGATTTTAACTTTTCTCTGTATTTGCCATTTTTTAGAGTGAGTATCAGAAAAATAAGAAATTTCTTTGACTAGCAATTTGTTTCTAGGAATTTTATCCAAAGGATGTACAAAAAGATACAGAAGGATGTTCACTGTTTCCATGAGTCAAACAGCGGGAAGAGGCAGACACCACAGTGCATCAATAAGAAACTAGTGAAATAAGCTCTGGTGCATTTATGCAAAGGAATTCTATGCAGCCATTAAAAATGCTGATGTAGGTAGACATTTTTAGCACGGAAAGATAAGCATAGTGTGTTCGTGAGTTTTAAAAATACATTATTAGGGGCGCCTGGGTGGCTCAGTCGTTGAGCGTCTGCCTTCAGCTCAGGTCATGATCCCAGGGTCCTGGGATCGAGCCCGCGTCGGGCTCCCTGCTCTGCGGGGAACCTGCTTCTCCCTCTCCCCCTCCCCCTGCTTGTGTTCCCTCTCTCACTGTGTCTCTCTCTGTCAAATAAATAAAAATCTTAAATAAAAATAAAAATACATTATTAAATCATTTGGAGAAAATAAACCTATTTTGGCAAATAATTATATTTATATGTATACATATTAGAAAAAGTCTGGAAGGATACACAACAAACCTATTTAACACTGCTTTTCTAAGGCTAAAGAATTACAGGTTGCTATAATTCTTTTCTTCATTGTGTTGACTTCCTAAATTATGCACTATAAACATGAGTTACTAATCCAAATAAATTTAAATCTACCCACAGCAATGCCAGATGATAATGATTTGATCCCAACTTCTCTTTTTTTTTTTTTTTAAAGATTTTATCTATTTATTTGAGAGAGAGGATGAGAGGAGAGAGAGAGCACATGAGAGGGGGGAGGGTCAGAGGGAGAAGCAGACTCCCTGCTGAGCAGGGAGCCCGATGCGGGACTCGATCCCGGGACTCCAGGATCATGACCTGAGCCGAAGGCAGTCGCTTAACCAACTGAGCCACCCAGGCACCCGACTTCTCTTTTTTTTAAAGCTCTGAAATTGCTTGGATCCTCAGAAGAAAAGAAATTTAAATACTGATTGTATTTTGAGGCAATTAGAAAAAAAAAACCCACCACCACCATGATAGATTCTGTAACTGTTCTCTTCAAACTCTGTTCATGTGAACCGTCTGGGGATATGTGCTAAAATGCAGATTCCCAAGCACCTGCTGTGGATCTGCAATGGGGCCCCAGTGGTGGGCGTCTCTGACATCCCCACTGACCCGTCCACAAGACACTCTGATGCATGTGGCCCACTTGGGGAAGTACTGGTGTCAAACAATGACCCTCTAATAAAAAAAGTGGAGGGAGGCAAAATGTTCACAGCGAGGCATTAGGGATCACCTAAATTTTAATTCTCATGTATCCAAGCTAAGAATTCTGAGCCAGGGAGGTTTGGTGACTTCATAGCTGGACCAGAACCCACATTTCCTAACCGTGTGAGCAGTACTCTGTCTGTGAACCAGCAGCACAAGTCCATCTTCTAGCTCTGCAGGCAAGGGGCCTCCCAGGTGACTCCACAAATCCACCTCCCTCCCCCAGCAAACACACACAACACTGGGTGTGGCCCTCCAGATGATATGCAGTGCCCTTGTGACCGGATGTGCTTCCCCAACAGCAAAAACGAAGCCTCTGACTTACTGTAAGCAAAGTAAACAAAGCAGGGCATTGGCCTCCGTTCTTCCTTCTCCACCCCCCCAACAGCACGGCAGAGCTAGAGGGATGACCTCCCCAAAGGCTCAGCCGCTCCGATCCCCAAGCGCCAGCACACTCTTCCTGGAGAAGCACTTTCACGAAGTATGCTCCTATTCAAGAACCAGTGAGGACTCACCAGTCAGAATGGCTAAAATTAACAAGTCAGGAAACGACAGATGTTGGCGGGGATGCGGAGAAAGGGGAACCCTCCTACACTGTTGGTGGGAATGCAAGCTGGTGCAGCTACTCTGGAAAACAGTATGGAGGTTAAATAAAATAGAGCTACCCTACGAACCGGTAATTGCACTACTGGGTATTTACCCCAAATATACAAATGTAGGGATCCGAAGGGGCACATGCACCCCGATGTTTACAGCAGCAATGTCCACAATAGCCAAACTGTGGAAAGAGCCAAGATGTCCATCGACGGATCAATGGATAAAGAAGAAGTGGTATATATATACAATGGAATATTATGCAGCCATCAAAAGGAATGAGATCTTGCCATTTGCAATGACGTGTATGGAACTGGAGGGTGTTATGCTGAGCGAAATAAGTCAATCAGGGAAAGACATGTATCATATGACCTCACTGATATGAGGAATTCTTTTTTTTTTTAAAGATTTTTTTTTTTTAAAGATTTTATTTATTCATTTGAGACAGAGAGAATGAGAGAGAGAGCACATGAGAGGGGGGAGGGTCAGAGGCAGAAGCAGGCTCCCCGCCGAGCAGGGAGCCCGATGCGGGACTCGATCCCGGGACTCCAGGATCATGACCTGAGCCGAAGGCAGTCGCTTAACCAACTGAGCCACCCAGGCGCCCGATATGAGGAATTCTTAATCTCAGGAAACAAACAGGGTTGCTGGAGTGGATGGGGGGTGGGAGGGATGGGGTGGCTGGGTCATAGACTTTGGGGAGGGGATGTGCTACGGTGAGCGCTGTGAATTGTGTAAGACTGATGAATCACAGACCTGTGTCTCTGAAACAAATAATACATTATATGTTAAAAAAAAAAAAAAAAGAAGATAGTAGAAAGGGAAAAATAAAAGGGGGGAAATCGGAGGGGGAGATGAACCATGAGAGATGATGGACTCTGAAAAACAAACTGAGGGTTTTAGAGGGGAGAGGGTGGGGGGATGGGTTAGCCTGGTGATGGGTATTAAGGAGGGCACGTTCTGCATGGAGCACTGGGTGTTATACGCAAACGAGGAATCATGGAACACTTCATCTAAAACTAATGATGTAATGTATGGTGACTAACATAACATAAAAAAAAAAAAAAAGAACCAGCGAGGACTTTAAAAATGCAAATAACCCCAATTTTTTTTTTATTATTTTTGCAACCAGAGACATACACAACAGCAGACACCAGCACAATGAATCCCTGCGTGCCCATCCTGGGCTTCAAGAGCCATCAGAGCTTGGGCCCCAGCGAGACTCCTCCACCCACTCACATGGGGGTGTGTGGAAGCAAAACCTAGAGGGTCTATCACTTCCGTCCATAACGATTTTAGCATATATTCCTCAAAGAGCTCTTAAAAAATAATTATAGCGCTAAAAATAACCTAAAAATTTTTAAAAGATTAGTGTATATTTGGTCAGTATTCACATTTCTCCGATGTTCTCAGAAAAACTTCTGTAAGATATCTGAACAGGAATCTTTGTCACAGATTTCCACTGGTTGCTCTGGGTTTTAAGTCTTTGGATCCATAGATTTCTCTTTTTTTTCTTTTTTCTTTTAAAGATTTTATTTATTTGACAGAGAGACAGCGAGAGAGGGAACACAAGCAGAGGGAGTGGGAGAGGGAGAAGCAGGCTTCCCGCAGCGCAGGGAGCCCAATGCGGGGCTTGATCCCAGGACCCTGGGATCATGACCTGAGCCGAAGGCAGACGCTTAACCAACTGAGCCACCCAGGTGCCCCTAATTTTTCTTTTTTTAAAAGATTTCATTTACTTATTTGAGAGACAGCGAACGAGCTTGAGAGAGCACAA